TTTATTATTGTTCCAAACATTGCGTGTAATACATGTGAGGATTTAAGCCTTTCATCTTTCTCACCAAAGCTACCTTTTGTTAGCATACACTGATGTATGTGCTGTATGCCATCAAAAGACCAGCCAGCACAACAACTCAGTGAGAGTTCAAATCAGCACTTCAGCTCCGCTTTGCACACGCCCTGCTGAGTACTCGTACTCCCACTGTTCAACACACTGCCCACAAAGGGTGATGTTAGGGGGGCAGACAGCAGCCTTTTCAGCCCTGTCAAACAAAGAAAAGGGCAGCGCTACAGCAGTTGCTCTGAAGCAACCAGGGCAGCAAAGGCAGACAGACGAGAACATATTTGATTCAGTCTGAGACAGTACTAGGGTTTTTTGTTCAAACAGCAATCTAAGTTTTTAGGTACTTTGGTAAGACAATTTCCCAGTGACGTGTTTGCAATGTGTGGATACGACATCTATTTTGCCAAATAATTTGTTGTGTTTTCTGCTCCCTACTTATTTTGCATAGCAGTAATGGCTTTCCCTGCCTGTGCAAACTATCAATTTTTAATCCATTACAAACAAATCACGTCCTGTCTGTAGCAACCACAACCAAGATGATCAAATGTCTCACTATCCGTGTGCCAGGGGAATTTTTACAAGATGTGTTAGGAACAGCAAATGTGAACGCTTCTATTTGCTGGTAATTACTGGAATAAGTGACAAAGTGTATAATTGTAATCAGTGATTCAAAGAACATTTAGATTATGGCTCTCTGGGAGCTGTTTAATCAAAAATAGTATTCATAAGCCATGACAGTTTACAAAATAGTTGTTTTTTGGTGGGTTTACATTGTTTAGAGACTAGGCTGAAGCCTTCTCAAAGCATCACAAAACCAAGAACAAATGCTGTACAGTGCCACCCCCACTCCACTGCCTGAGGATGCAGGAAGACTTGGTAAACCGAGGTGTTAATGTATTCCAGCTCAGAGACTGCAGAGGTACACTGTGTGCACTGATGTGACATTAATGACAGAAAAAGGAATGTCATGTCGCACATGAAACCACACACACGTGAACACTCGTATTCCTGATGCCCTGGGGTGATGTTTTCCAACTACCAAGCAGCTTGCTGGGCGAGATCGAACATTGCAGGCTGGATTTCCGGGGGACTCCTCTTAGGGTGCATTTTGTTTGGTAGTGATGCTGACAGGACACAGCAAGCACGACTGACACGCTGTCAGTGCCCTTCAGTCAGCTGGAACCTCATGTTTAAATCAAGCTCATCAACAACCAGTCAGGGTGAATATTTGTCTGTTGGCTAGAAAATGAATCGATATAGTTGAGGCTAATATGGAAGATGATTTCTGCCAGGAAACTGACAAGAAAAAAAGGAGGACACTGTCAATTTAAATAATGAAAACACTGGTGTTGTGTCAATATTTTAAATTACTAAGTGAGATGCATCTATTATAATACATTTTGAATCTTTATGCAACACAAAATATTAAATACATCAATTAACAAAAACACAGCAACATGGTTTGCAAACCTGTTATCTGTGATCTAAAGTATACAGGATGTATGGTCAATTGTATACAAAGGTTGCTTCCACTCTGGGTTTTATGAGCCCTACAGGGGCCTGAAATGAGTCAGAGGGGCGCTTTATGATATAGAATATGAATAAGAAGACATTACAAAAAAAGTATAACACACAAAGTTAAGCTTACTTTTTTAAGACACTTTTGGTGTTACCTTTGTTTTGTCTTTTCATGGCCAATGGCAACACAATCGTTAGAAAACAAAAGATTACTGTGTTGTCACAATATTAATTGAGGTTTGTTATGCCATGCTACCAATCTGAAGTTGAAACTGCTCAACAAATAGATCATGTGCTTGTCAGCCTCACTCTCTTCACACAAAATACGATTTTGTACAATTTACATTTTTTCTTTTATCATAAAAAACTGTTTTGCTGGTTGAGTCTAGAGGCACAAACACATTAGTATGTGGATCACATTTTGTACTGTGTCCACAGATGCACAAACACACACCCAGCAAAGTCTGTTGCTGGTTTAATCTCCCATTTCAGTGACATGCTGTCATCAGGAGCACATCCATTCATTGCGGCTGTCAAAACAGCCTTCCTTTGGGGCGTGCTGCTGTTGTGACGCATATATCACAACTCATGCATCATTCCGGCTTGGTGTGATAACTAGTGGCTCATCCTAAAATATCTATGTTGCTTGAAATATTGAACGCTTGTTAAACGCATGTATCATGAGTGAGTCACATGAGAGCTGCATCATTCAGTGGTTGCATTAGCTTTTACTCTTTGGTGAAGTTGATTTTCTTCCTCCTCTGAGCTGAAGTGGGTTTATCAGTGTAATATTTCCTTTTTGAAACAATTATCTTCTACAAAAATAAAAACACTCAAAATTCAACATTCAAAAGCTTCAATGATTTGAGAAAAAACGATCCAATACGTGATGCCAAAAACACGTATAATCATGTGAAACTAAACACATGCTTTTGGGGGCAATCCCTGAATAACACAATGGAGTGACACATGGATGCCTCTCTTCGATGTCACTTAATTGATACACAATGGAGAGTGCGGGCGTCACCGGCGGGGCGTAGAATAAGCTGACAGACAGGCCATGTCACATGTCAGCTTTCAGAGCGCTGTTCAACATGTCTCCTCCTGACTGACAACCCACCCCAATTAACCTCAAACTCCAAAACAGACAGGAAACGCATACAAGTACACCTGCTCTCTCCCTCTCCCAAACTCAGACACACTCACCCTCGCTGGGTGTGACAGCTGTGGAGCTTTGTCTTTATTCATTCAGCGCTAATTGACCTTGTTCTACAGGGCCCATCTTGAGCAAGGGAAGGCATTGTTTGCCTGCTGCATGTGTACGGTTATATGAGTAGCTACAGGCAATCAGTTAATAAATAAATAAATAAATAAAATACCTATAGAATATAAATAGAACATGTGAAGGTTTTTCTATCAATTACCATTCTATGCCGATGTTCAAGGTAAAACCTGAATTGAGCAGAATACTGATGGTTTTCTCAGCTTATTAAATGCAGGACCATGTGAAGATGGAGCTTTTTACTTCTAAGTATGTCACTCTGGGTCCCTCTAGTGTGGTAACAGACAGATGGGAGGAGGATTTTAAGCCTCCATGGCATTCAGTACAACAAGGAACATAGGCCTGATAGAGGGTTTGTGTTAAATCTTGAATAAATAACATATGATTGGCGTGCAAAATTATGTATTAGTGTGTTTAAGGTTATGTTTTTGGAGCTGGCAATACATTTTTTTTTAATATGATTTGATTGTCTCCCCAATTCCCTACCCAAGATTACTGTTTTAAATTAAACAGCATTTCATATTTAGAGACCGTTTTATGGAAGCGATAATAAGCCACACTTTCAAACAGTGAAATAGAAAAAATAGAAAAAATAATGGACTAAGTGAAATGTTGGCCAGCAGATAGCAAGCAAGATTCAAAGAGACTCATTTAGATGCTAATAAAAGAGAAGGCAACATACTCCCTATTTCTGGTTACGTTATGTCCACATAACTGCATTAAAGAGGTAGAAGGTGGTGTTGCATGATGAAGATTAAAGAAAGCACAGGCCAAGTTTTTATTTCTATTTATAAAATCTACAGAACCAATCTCATATACTGTACCTGAACATACAGTATATTACCTGGGATCACCACTGATCACTACTATCAGCAGGTTGGAAGCGCTTTGTGTAAGGTGAGCCCGGCTATAAGAATTTTCTTTATCTGGGAAAGGAGAAAAATACGATTTTGTTAAGTTTATTCTACTCATTACCTTCAGGACGACGGATGAGAAAGTTGTGTACTCAAAAACAAACCTCCCTTGCATAATCATATATTTTATTTAGAGAATTGATAGCCTTACATTTCCTTTAAAAAGATAAGATACAAAACCACATCATGTAGGCTATTGTTATAACATTTCACAAGATTAAAAAATAATGAAAATAGCTATAGCCGAACTCAACAAAGAGTAATGTTACACACAAAAAAGTATTTATAATGTGGGTTAATCGCGGGACCCAGCTACTGGGTCAATCCAGCACTGACCCAGTAATAGTTCAAATTCAACCATTAGCATAACAACCAACCTTAACAGATGGGTAATTTTGACCCATTTAAAACATATTATTTCCATTGTTGGTACCCTCTGTAGTGTTACTTTAATTTGTTATATTAGGTTATCAATTAAACCTATATTTGCTCAAGGTTAACCAGCTGCAACATAGTGACACTTAGGTTATGATGCAATAATTAATGTTAAGAAGCAATGCCATTTATAATGTTTATTGCTCCATATTAAGGAACTGAATACTTGTTTCATTGCTGACTGTAGAACTAGTTTAGACTGCATTAGTGTGGGCAAGGTTTAGTTAATGATGTTGAACTTTGAACATAATTCTTAGAATTTCTAACTCTAGCCGTATAACTCCAGACTCACAGGCAGGGTGAATTTAGAATGAATTATTTACCCGGAGCAAAATCACTTAGGCCTACGGGTCAGGTTATTAATGTATTGCTGACTGTGCTGGGACATGTGTGTATGAGCACAACCACGGCAGAATATTACTGCCAAAAGTCACGTGAGTGAGTCACGTGACTTTTGGCAGTAATATTCCGCCGAGAAGAAAAAGTTTTGTACTTGTAAAAAAAAGTGTTGTACTTGTAAAAAAAAGTTGTATACTTGTAAAACCTATGCTGAATTTGTCTCTGAAACATGATTTATTAGAAAAATGTTATGTGTTTGTTTGATAGATACGTTTTTTCTTTGCAAAATTAAATGCATTAGTTTGTAGATGGTGTTTTGTATTTGCAAACCACATTGTGTTTGTTAGTGAATCATGAGGCATTTGTAAAACCTCTTTAGTTTGTTTGTGGAGTTATGGCAGGAAATTAGCTCCATAACTGCGCCTCGTGACTGTCCGTACAAATGGCGCAGCAACAGCAGCAGATGAAGCACGCGCTGCAGCAGTGCATTGATGCACAGAAAGACGAGCTGCACAGTTTAAGTCGGGACATTTGGAGCAACCCCGAGCTCGCCGGAAACGAGACACAGGCGCACGACAGGCTGGTCCGCTTCTTCTCTCGGGACAAAACATGGACGGTCGACAGTCACTACAAACTACCCACCGCATTCCGGGCCGTGTGGGATCCGGTCGGTGGCCGCGAGCGAGCACTGAACGTGGGCTTCCTCTGCGAGTACGACGCGCTTCCGGGTATCGGACACGCTTGCGGGCACAACCTGATAGCGGAGGTGGGAGCTGCAGCCGCTCTGGGGCTGAAAGCTGCTTTAGAGAACCAGAGTGAACTCCTTCAACCAGTTAAGGTAACCATTCAGGTTAGGATCAAATAAGAAGGCAAACTATGACAGCTCACTGTTTTGATAACTTTGACTCTCCACAGTTCTATGAGTCAACTGCTCTTCACATTTTCAGAAGTAAAGAACTGTTGGCCTTTTGCCAAATATAGGAGAAGCCTCAATGCAGTGGAATGCCTCAATGAGCTCAATGTGGGCGCAGCTTCACAGATGACGCGTTGCATCCTGTTTCCCGGGTAGCAGTTTCCTTCCCCCCATCCTAACCCTAACCACTCCCTACCTTTTTACCTAATCCTAATCTTCCTTCCTCCCTCCCAAACCTAAACCCCAAAACCTCTCCTACCCCTTAGTATTATTTGCCACTTCTAATCAGTTCTCCTTTAAACTCTCTCTTTTTCTCCATTTCCTTTTTTAATCCCCATCTTTTCCTCCCCTCCCTTATGATGTAGTTGTGTTCATGTGTTCAGGAAATTTGCATTTCCTTTCCTTTTGCATTTAAAAAAAGTTTGCATTTAAACAAAAATGTAACACAGACCTCAAGGTATCATTATATTACCGGTATCATTATATATATATATATATATATATATATATATATATATATATATATATATATATATATATATATATATATATATATATATATATATATATATATATATATATATATATTAATAATATAAGATATAATATGTTACTTTTGTGACTGGGTAAGTACCATAGACTGTATATATAAGGTAAGTACACAACACGGGAGTCGGGACGTCACGTGCCTCAAAGGTTGAGAAAGGTTGAGCTCCGCCCACGTTGAGACGTTGAGGCATTGCGCACTGCATTGAGACAACTTTATTCCAACATCTGAGACTTAACAAGGGCCACATTTCTTGACCTAGTGCTTCAACACCCCCAATGACATATCTATAAATTCCACAAAAATTCCATAAAATCTAAAACAAATCAACATTTTCACTGTAACATAACACAAAAAAATTCAGATAATAGAGAGATATATGACAACTAAGCATCACAATACTTTTTATTTGTAAAAAGTGTTTATATGATGATGTCAGTAGACTGAACAAAAAACCTTTTATCCAGATAACAGTATTGGGAACTCCTTCGGAGGAGGCTACAGGAGGAAAGATTGACCTGATCAAGGCAGGAGCGTTCACTGACATGGACCTGGTCTTCATGGCTCACCCCGCTCAGCAAGATGCTCCATTCCTTCCCGGTGTCGCTCTCGATGAGTGAGTTCACAGCTTTTACAAGTTCACAACCTGCTCTGTGTATGTTAACCTCCGTTGTATATTTCAGATATCCATTAAAGCACTTTATTGATGTGACACAGGGTGATAGTGAAGTACTATGGGAAAGCGTCTCATGCTTCTGCATACCCTTGGGAGGGAGTGAACGCCCTGGATGCTGCTGTGCTGGCCTACAACAACCTCTCTGCACTCAGACAGCAACTCAAACCAGAGTGGAGGCTTCACGGTGAGAAACAGGCAGAATCTGTGATCAGCTGAGCTTTAAAGTTGATTAAAAACAGTCTCCCCTCAAAGTCATTTTACTACCATTTACATGAGAAGTTCTTCATGTGGTAAGAAAGATAAAATGTATCAACAAACTTGCGTGATGAGGTCAGTGACGTGATTTAATTACTTGTTATAAATGAACCTTTGCAAACTTATGCCACTGTGTGTTGTCTTCATATGACAGTCAAGTTGCACAGACATTTAATTTAAGTATAGCAACCAGAGGGTATCTATGTGAGGCAATTTTCCAAGTATTTAAAAATGTTTCAGCAATATTCTCAGATGGTGTCATGACACAAATTTGTCAAATCACGCCTTCCATAATGCCTCCATTTTGTCAAGAGCTAGCCCACATATCTTCAAATAAAATAAACTCAATATATCAGCAACAAAATAGAAAGTGCTTAAAATAATTGCTGTGATAAACAAATACTGCAGGTGTGACGGATGCATCCCTTCTTATGCTTCATCATGTCAATTTTTCTCCAGGCATCATCAAACATGGAGGGGAGAAGCCCAACATTATCCCTGCCTACACAGAGTTGGAGTATTATCTGCGCACGCCGCTGGTGAAGGATCTTTTTGACCTGAAGGCCAAGGCTGAGGCTTGCTTCAGGGCAGCTGCTGTTGCCACCGGCTGCCAAGTAAGCTTACTTAAAAAATTCGACTTCCTCTAGCTTCCCTCGGGCGCAGATGTAAGCACAAACAGTGTGTTTTAACATATCTTAGAAATGCAACGTTGGAGTTGACTGCTGTTATATAATATTGCCCTTTTTAACATATTCCTGTTTTAATACTCCCAAGTTTTGTTTGACTCTTACATAATTCACCGTTATCTTCAGGCGGCTTTTCTCCTACGTCTGCACTTGCTTCAGGGAAGTTAAACTGAGATTAGAAAGCATGCATGGAGTGCCATATTTGTTGATTTATGAGAGTAATCTCTATTGTTAAATGTCATGTTTTTTTAAATGAAGGAATACTTGTGTTTTCTTCAGGTGGAGATAATCTACCCATGCAATTCCTACTATAACATTCTGCCTATTGCCACGCTAGCAAACCTGTATAAAAATAACGGAGAAGCTTTGGGGATTCAGTTTCCAGAGCAGCCAAACAATTTTTCTGGTATGTGAAAAAAACAAACATGAATCATATATAATTATTGCTTTTAATCCTGGTTTGTGCAGGAAAACTTTAAATACCGTAGGTGTACAGCTTTCTATTGAATTGAATGAAGAAAGAATAATTATTGAAGGGTATTTATAATTATCTGGCAGGTTCTACAGACTTTGGCAACGTATCATACGTAGTCCCCGGTATCCATCCTTTCTTCTACATCTGCACTGATGCGCTAAACCACACTGAGGAGTACGCTGTAGCAGCAGGTAAGGCAGCATGTGTATATTGTGAGCAGATGTTCTCTCTTTGATTCAATCAGACGGTTTTCCAGGTCACTTGGTTTGTCTCTTTAGTTTCTATTTACTTTTTTCTTTTCTTTTTTACTCTCTTTTTCTATGTGCCAGGAGCTGAAAAGGCCCAGTTGTACACCCTGAGGACGGCCAAAGCCCTGGCTATGACAGCTGTGGATGTAGTGTGCTCCCCCGATCTGCTGCAGAAAGTGAGAGAGGACTTCAGCCAAGCCAAACTGAAACAGGGGAAACACCTGGAAGGCACGGATACATCTTTGACGGCTCCATAAATACAATAATATGAATAACAGTTGTAGAAAATAGTTGTTCAGGGTTGTGTTGGGCTTTAAGTAGATTCCTATACATAGTATGGTTACTTTTGAAGGAAAGACCTTAAAGAAATATATGAATAATACTAATAATAATTGTATTAAGGACACCACAAAGAGAAGATGTAAGGACCTACTAAATAAAATCAAATAATATAGAAGAAATACATTCAAATAGAGTACTGAAAACTAGTAATACTTAGCAATACATAAGCAGATTCCAAAATAAAAATTAGGAAACTGCACCCACCTTTATAAGGTTTATTCCTACTAGACTAGATCTGATGCTTGTCGAGGTTCGAAACCAGCATGGGTACCTTTTCTTTTAGGGCCAGGACCTGGAAAAAGTGACCTTTTGAAATCTAAGGGTTAGGGTTAGAAAATATTATAAAGATAATAATTTGCCATCCGTCTAATTGTTTTCGCATTTAGCGCTAATTAACAAATGTTATTATGCTAAACTAAGATGTGTTGAGGTTTAGCTCCAAGTACTCTCTGAGCCAAAACAGATTGCTATCAGGGCTGCCGACTTAGTTCTGTGGACTCTTTACTATCTATACAGTACATCCAGAACCACAATTCAGATAAACCTAAAACGTCATAATCTTTAACCTTTTTGTACTGGCGATTTGATACACTGTTCATAATTGTACGAACAGTTTTTGTAGAGAATGTAAGAAACACTTTTGAACGTATCTCATACATGAACTCAGCAGAAAGGCCATTGGTCTTTTCACTCCTTCAGATTTCTCAGCATGTTTTCACCAGCAGCACACAGGTCGACTCAAACGTTTGCTTCCCTTGAGCGCCTTTGAGTGGTCACAGATGTGGTGGAAAATCCAGTTCTGGACATCTTTTTGGATGCTTTATTCTTTTCATTTCTCTCTGCTGCAGGGATTCAAGGATAATGGTGCACACAGTTTGAATTGTCAGCTTGCCCTTGGTGATGTTACTTGAACCAAAAAAGACAAGTACAAAAGAGAAAGATGACACATTCTTTAAAAAAAAAAAAAGAATCAGAAAATGGGCTTAATGTATTATAGCCAAGTTTCATCGACACCTCTCTACTTCAGAGGATATATATTTATATTCTGTAATACCATTAACTACTCACATGTGAAATAAGGGATTTATATTATGTGATTTGGTAATCAGCAATATCAGACCTGTGCTGCAGAGAGGAGAGGCAATCCAAAGTCTAATCACTGTGAAAGCTTGTCCTGCAGCGCTGTTTAAATATACTGTAAAGGAGAACAGGATTAAATTGGATTAAATTGTGAGACTGTAGAGGTTGTACCAGAAAAATGTAGCCAAATGCTTTAACTGTTTTGAGCAGATTTTAATTGATGTCTTCAGAAGCAACATTCAGAAAGAAGCGATATTCAGCCATGCAGCAAAATCCATTTACATCTATGTATTACACTGAGGAGATTTAAAATGTACAGTATTGCGATTGTGTTCTTCAGCACCTGTAAGCTCATTATCCAACATGTTTCCCATTGATACATCTTTTACCAGCGTTTGCTATAATATCAGATTTTGTTGTCATAAAATTGTCATTAACCACCAAAACATAATTGAGTTTATAGCTGAAAAAGACGATAACACTAGCAACTAACAGGTCACTGTAACCTCAAAGCCTCACAACATCAAACAGAGGAGATGAGCTTCAGTTGTATAAAATATTGAAGTATGAAATTAGTACATTTAGTCAATACCATAATTCATGTTTGGGATTTACTTAACATACATATTAACATTTGTGTTTTTATTGACTGCATTTTTTGCTCTTTTTCTTTATATTGAACTTTGTCGAATTACAAAAATGCACGACAGTAAGAAGCTTGACAGCAAAATAATTGCACTGATACAAAGATCACCAGAACATTTAACACATTCTGAATCAAACTAACGTGCTGCAAAGGAAACACTTTAAAATAATCACATTATCAGGTTTTTAGAAGAAAATTCATTTTTTTTCTCATCCAAGAGTTGAGATTTTTACGACGAAGAATGATATCTAGAATATAATAACGACAAACCAACCTTGAATATTTTCAGTTTGCCATTGATTTTCACGTCTAATTCATATACAAAAGAGAATGAATGTGTCAGTAATCCGCTTCCAGTTCATATTTTCATTAAAGAGTTGTTCTGGACATCTTTTTGGATGCTTTATTCTTTTCATTTCTCTCTGCTGCAGGGATTCAAGGATAATGGTGCACAGTTTGAATTGTCAGCTTGCCCTTGGTGATGTTACTTGAACAAAAAAGACAAGTACAAAAAAGAAAGGTCATATCTAGAATATAATAACGACAAACCAACCTTGAATATTTTCAGTTTGCCATTGATTGTCACGTCTAGTTCATATACAAAAGAGAAGGAATGTGTCAGTAATCCGCTTCCAGTTCATATTTTCATTAAAGAGTTGTAAAGAGTCACTGCATTGATAACTGAAGTGAGTTGAGCTGCACAGAAACACAGGTCCATGTGTGTGAGTCTCTCTGTGAAGTACGTTTTCAGGACACAACGATATCCAAACGTCTATAATTACAACATGAAACCACACAGATTTGACGGAGTGATAAAAACAGCTATGTCGACCATCCTGTCCGTCTGTAGCTGATTTGAAATTCTCCAGTTTTAAGTGGCTGGGTCGAGAAGGCAATGGTCACCAATCTGTCAGTGGTCCCCATGCATCATCATGTCTGAAAAGCATCACGTGTTGTTCCTCCTGCTCCTCGAGTCTCATCATCATCTTCTGCATCCCCGGGTTATGAGTAGATGGACCAATAGATGATGTTAAAGAGGATGTACGCTCCAGGAAACATAACCCTGGAGTACTTGTCTATAGCGTGGGTGTCTATCCAAACGTTCACGTAGCCTCTGGAGGCCTTCACCTGGCCTGTGATCTGCGGGTCATTCAGAGACACCTGGGCCAACATTCTGTCCTGGCGACCGCCGTTCACTGGCATCCCATAATTCCCCGTGTTGTTGACATCCATGGACCCGTAGCCAGTGATCTGGGGGTCGATCATGTCGTCAGGGTTACCAATGCCGCATGTACACGGCAGCTAGAGGAGGAAAAAGAACACAAAGTCATTTTGACACTCTGAAATCTGCTCATTGTAAAGTCATAAACTGAAACAAAGAATATAAATCCATTAGTTTGTTAAATGTTATTTTTCTACACACTGAGTGACTTTAAATCACTTTGGCTTGAAACATTTATAGAACGAAGGATGTTTGTGCTGGAAATGTTCCTCGGGGTACGTGGGCAATTTGGCTCCATATGCTGCGGCATTTGGCAGATGAAGAACAGTAACACACGAGCTGTAGTCTCAGAAATAATATGCCGTAGCCCGAGAGAAGCTTAAACTGAGCCAATTTAGAAAATATTTATCTGTTTATTTCAAATGCCCATGAAGTATTCATGCTTCCATCGGTTTTGAAATAATTCAATGTATAAAATATTTGGATATAAAATCAGGTCAGCCTTGTGCTGTTTTGACTTAGAGAGAGCTTAATAATAATAATAATACATTTTATTTTAGGCGCCTTTCATGACACCCAAGGACAATTTGTTAAAAAAGAAAACGCTAATAGGCAACAGAACATGATAAAAACACAAACAGGAAATCATGGAGGAGACAATCAAGTGGACACAAGTGAAACAAATAATGGAGAGCACTACAGTGAGTAGGCAGATTTGAACAGGTGGGTTTTTAATTGGGATTTGAATATGGTGATTGTGTCTGACTGTCGGATGTGCACATAATACATAATTGTTCTCATACTGAATCTCATGTTTTCTGATAAAGGCATCAAAAAATTAACAGAATAGTTACTCTTTTTTTTAACATTTTTTGGGTTGGTATGCACTCCAGATATGCAGATGTTTGTGAAGCACTCAAAAATAGAGTCATCATGATGTGTCCCCTTTAAACATATAGCATGGGTGTTCAAGGGTTTAACTTAAACTATATACGCTGTGTGAAGGACATTTCAGCATTCAAAAATATGAAAATGTTACTTAATAATTTATAAAAAAACCATCAGAGCTTTCTGTTGCTTCCTTATTTTAAGGAAAGATTGAGTCAGTTACACATTTATTATTTACACCCTGTATGACGTGATTTCCTCACAAGCAGTTTTTACTCTTATTCGTTTAGTCTTAAGAAAATGTGCCCAATAATTGAGTTTTTTTAATGTAGTAAAGCAGAGTTAATATTGCTCTGGTTTGGTAATGTTAAACTGTGTACGTGAATCATAAAAGACAAACATTTCATAGGTTAACTGTGTTTTTAACTTCAGACTATGAACAACCAGAGGGTAAAAATTCACAAAAATAATACTTACTCTCTCCCTCAGTTTCCTCTCTTTCCTCTCCTGCACGGTGGAGAGGTAGTTGACCGCCGCGTACTCTATCACCGACAGGAACACAAAGACAAAACTGACCCAGAGGTAAATGTCCACCGCCTTGATGTAGGAGACGCGGGGCATGGAGGCGTTGACCCCGGTGATGATGGTGGACATGGTTAGCACTGTGGTGATGCCTGGAGTAAAACACACAAACACATCAAAGCGCTGATTTACACTGGGCTGGGAAGCTGAAAAAGAATGATAAATACCATAGAAAGGGCTACATTATATAACCGTTTTTCCATATTGCCCTGCCTTCTGATCTAGTATTTTAACTATCAGTGTCGAAACGCTCTGTAAAGCTCTCTGCAGAAGAAAATAAAGAAATCGTAAGCATGGAGTCAAGGCTTTCTGTGAGAAAAAACTAAGGATAAATCAGGAGGATAGGTTGTGAGATGCTGCTCTTCCCCACTCATTTCCCACTGACACAGTGCTAGGATCCATTTTTCCAAAGCTTGATTTTCACGATGTATTCCCGATAGTTGAGACACATGTCATGCTTCCATCCAACCCTTAAAAACTTTTCTGGCCCAACATTAATTTGCAACTGGCAGAACTACTTTGACACTATTTCAAAAATACTTCCAACCATTTCAAATGTCTCCTTGTATTCCCTTATTTGGCCTCTAAGAAATGCCTTTCACTTCCTTCCTGGTGGCATGACGCCATCCTCTCACTGGGAGTCTTCTAAAGCTCCCTCCAGCGCTCGATGGTATCTTGTCCTTTCTGAAGCTAGACAAGATTCATAAATATTCAGGGTGGGCTAATTCTGATAAGTTCTTTAATAAGAGCCTTAAAAAAACAACTCTCTTAAATCTCTGATGGGAAAAATGGATGCACACACTTTTTTCCTGTCTTCTTTTGGGGGTTTGTCTCTCAAATGTTATGTTTTTGGGGTTTAAACGTTATGCTTTAATTATGTTATTATGTTTGTATTGTGTTATTTAACTGTCAATGTTAAGTCACGTTGATTAGCTCTTCACCGTATTTCTTAATAAAAATGATTATGCCCAAAATGTGTTTCACTATTCTCCCCTATGTAAATCATATCCTACTTTCACACTGTTGCTCATAAAGTTGGAATAAAATATTTGCTACCTCTTCTGATGAAACGATTAATTTGTGACAATGTGATTTACTCTTATAGATAAAGTGTATATCTTCTCAAAAGGTGATCAATCTCTTCCAAACATGTCACAGTGAAAATTAAATCACAGTGGGTAACAGTGTATATTGTGTAAACTGTAACTTGGCCCTTCAATAGTGTTTTATTTGTGAGATAGCTTACAGATGTTTTATCTTCACGGTCAACTTGCATATTTTTTACTTTTTTAGTTGCATTTTATTTTCTATTTTGAGATGTTTCTATTTTATAATTGTTTATTTTCGACTCTATTTAATTTCTAATTATGTGAAATGCCTTGCTGCTATAACAGAAAAAAAAATCGCAATTTGGGATCGAAAAAGTACATCTTATCTTATCCAGCTACCCCATTTTTTTGCTGGGAATAAGCCACTTCTCCACACTTAATATTCTCTTTGAGCTAAGTTTTTCTGCTGATACGTCGCCCTGTGAGAGGAGCTCCTTCCTACCGAGCGGCACCCTGGCGGGGACGGCCCTGCGGTCGATCCAGAAGGACACCCAGGACAACATGACCATCAGAGTGGCCGGGAAGTAGGTCTGCAGCAGGAAGAAGAAGATGTGGCGCCGCAGGGTGAAGTGGATGTACAAGCGATTGTACCAGCCTGGGAAGAAGAAATAATAACATTGTGGTATTTTATCTGCCGTTACACAGCACAAATACTCAAAGCGGCGGTTCCAAGCTGTAGCAGGGAGGGATAGGAGCTAGAGAGTGACATGTGGTTTTAAAGAAGCTGCGTGGCTTTCACAGCGGCACTACAATGTTTGACAGGAGTTTGATTTATTTTGTTTGGCAAGGATTACAATTTAGCGTATTCTTCCTGGTGTGTCATTCAAAATACATGTCAGAAAGACTTGATCCTTTAGTTGGAAAAGGCTTTAAAAGTCAAATACGACTCATAGTAAGTTTCAATTGTGATTTCGTTTTTCATGCACAAAGCAGACATTTGCATAATCAGTTGGGTACACTGTATGTCTTAGAAGTGCTTGTTGTGGATACCTGTGCTGCTGTAGAAAGCCAGCTTAGTGGTGGTGTGAAATTTCTGGATGAGGAACTGGGACAGAGATATTCTTTCGTCCGTGTTCAGGGATTCGTTGCCCTTCTTCCAGTACAACATCAGGTCGTCATCTGTGTACGCATCTGGAGGGGAGAAGAAGGAGAAGTGAGTACATCTGTGACAAACCAAATCAGGACAGATTTAGTTTCACATTTGCTCGGTTTTAATGTGAACAAAATGTGCGAAGATTTAAAAAGAGTTTTCACAATTCTAAAGCACCTCTAGCAGTCCCTAGAGACTTCAATGTTCATCGCACCGTGTGATTCTGACAGTTTTAGAGCCTTATTAGCAGAGGAGCTGAGAGGGTGATGCTAGAGGCGAGGTTTTGGCATCACATATAATCATACATCACAGATTTCATGAGATATCTGGTGAGCAAACTTGACATTTTGGCCTGAGGAGAGTGCAAAAGCAACATCTTGCAAGGAAATTGTAAAAGAGGTGGCAATGTCCTCAGTAAATATAGCCATTTCTTGAATATCAGGGAGATGTTTGTCATATTAATGGCACTACAAAAAGGTCAGTGAGATAGTTATCTGGAAAACATAAACATGGGATAAGACATTACGCTTTTCCGATACTTTGTCGTGTAGGAAACTTTGATACCTGATCATTTAATTGACATATTGCTGTCTTTCTAAAATATTGCTCGATCTATTTTTATAAATGCACTCACAGCTCTCGATCTCCAGCGAGCAGGTCTGGGTGTCCAGAGGGAAGCGGCTGAGGTCCATGTTGCACATGGCAGTGACAGTGACTCTGCAGGGAGACCAGCAGAGAACCAAAGAAAATGAGTACCAGCAAGGACGAAGGGTAAAATTACAACTGTGTGTACATAGGCTGTGTTTTTAGCTGACTGAAACCAAGAAAATAAGGATATGTGTTTTTATAAACGTTTCTTTTTTTAACTGTGTATTCTCTTCCTGTATTAGAGTCTCACTTTTCTCCTCTTCCCTTCCTCTTCACCATTTTCCCATCAAGGGGCCTACTACTATCTCTGTAAATATTAAACCAATTGATATTTAAAAAGTCCCTGCAATCAGCTGACAAATGTCACACAGCATTTGGCATTTTCCTCTGGTAACTTGACATAGATCATCAAATGACTCATACATTTTATTCCACAAGATGCTTCCCCTGCTGTGAAACTATCTGAAAGGAATCAGAGGTGACCTTTAAAAGTTAAAATGACTGCTATGCGATCTTTTCATTTGCCAATTATGTCAGTATGTTGGCATTGCTTTTCTTTTTTAAAGCTTTTTTATTGGGATGTTTTTTTGTTTAGAGTACAGGGAAATACGCTTTTCTCTTTGATACCTGTTAACAATAAAAGGCCAAAGTCATTATCTCAAATGTCATGTTTTAAATATACAGACCTTTCCTACTGAATAATATCTTTCTGTATGATATATTTGATATATTGTTTATTTTAGGTTCAGTTGGCTCCTCGGCTAGGTTCATGCTCCCTAGATGTGTTTACCTGAGACTGTAGAGGACGTTTCCGTCGGGGTAAACCCTCAGCATGACGTTATCGGTCGTGGTGTCGTGGATGAAAGATCGCTTGGAGTGGACGAAGAACATGTCAGGGACCCATATCTTCTTCACCAGGCGGCTGTCGAAGGTCATGCTCTGGTTGTTGGTGCTCGGGAAGGACAGCCGCTCGTCCTTCCAGTAGTGACGCAGGTACAGAGTCATGGTGAAGTCCTACAGGAAGCAAGAAGCTGGTTCTCAAATGCTTTCATTAAGTACAAGTACCAATACAATACAATACAAATACTTCATGGCAAGTAAAGGTCCTGCATTCAAAATCTTAATTAAATAAAAATACAGTATTATCAGCTAATGTCAATAAATGAGGGATAGTGGTGGTCTAATGGATAGTGAGGTGGGCTGAAGATCGGAAGGTTGTGAGTTCAAATCCCGCCAGGAACACCACCACTAGTGTGCCCTTGAGTAAGGCACTTAGCCCTTAGTTACTCCAGGGAGAATGTCCCTGTAATTGGTCGCTTTGGATAAAAGCGTCAGCTAAATGAAATGTAATGTAAAAATAAGGTAACGGTTGCAAGGAGGAGCTAGTTTATCAACTTTTTATAAGCTCGGGCTGAGTCCAAACATGCCCCTCTAAAGGGTCTCAATATGTAAAAGTCGGATTGCGAGATGATTAACGGAAAGGAAATCAAATAAAATGCAACATTTTTATTTGTCTTTCCTTTAAAATGTGTACTTTTCCTTCAATATTAGATCATATGAAACCATATGAAACCTTTGGTGTGATTGCTACAGTAACTAACTCTCTCCTGTGCTATCTAACATCAGCTGTATACCCCCAGGCTCTTTATTACTCACCATATCGACCTCAGAGATTGTGTCCAGACTTTCAACCTGAACATCCACTCCAACTGGAATTGGAGGACCTGAAATAAAAGGACTCATGTCAGGATTGCATAACACGTGTTATTTCTCTGCATAGACGCTTGTTGAGCTCTACCTAATGGCTGTGACAGTGTGTTAAACATACAAGGCAACTAAAACAGAGCTTGTTTAAATCTTTGCTTCCATAAAAACAAAAACAATGAACAACAGAAACAATGTAGAGCATCTGCTTGCACCACATCTGTGTCAGCCTAGCTGGGATTTTACTTTTGACCCTGTATAGCCTTAGTACTCTGCCTCCTCATCCACCAAAACAACACAAACACAATTAGGTCACAATAAGGGATCAAAGTAGATGTCGCAGTGGATAAAATCAAGCTCTCCTTTTAACTTGCAGCTGAGCAAATGCAAAAAGGATCCTGCGAGAGGTCACTTGGAAAGTTATCAGCGGCAGATTGTGGTATCATTAAAAGCAGGAGTGGTCTGATAAAAACAGCACATGTTTCTCTTTTCCAAGCCTTATGTCTAATGATGAATAAAAAGATAACGATGGCTAAAAGGATTATAAATATAAATGTCATTACCATCTTCTAGTAAAAACCAAAGCCTGTGAGCTTTACTTACATTACAACACTGTTATATACGCTAATGATGCAAAAGACGTGGATTAACCATGTGATGTAAAGAAGTGAGCTGCAGTTGAAAGTCAGGGGCCGCTTGCATGGTGTCATTAAGATCTCCAGGAGCTTATGGGACTGTTACTGCACGGATCTCATCCAGCTTAACATGCAGCCTATACACTGTGCACACGGTATGTCTGAGCTATACAAATACAACCCTTTTATTTAAAAGCTCTTCAATTGGAAGTAACATTTCATTTCCTTTCTGACCTCCAAAGGCTGGCCTCATGGTGAAATCGTGGTCGTCTATTCTCAGGAGCTGCTCGGATTTTGTCATCAGAGTTTTTGTCATGTCTGCACTCCGTTTGTAAATTGGACTGTGAAAAGAAAAGAAGGTAAAACATGTCATTGAGCTTTAGGGATACATTGTGTGGTGCTTATATGTCAAAATGGAAAATCCAAAGAATAAATTGGACTGTGGTCATTTTTTCATCAGAGGTTTAGAAAACTCACTTTCCGGTTTTTTGACCTCCACTCCCGTCCATCCTGGTCTCTCTTCGCGACCTAATGCGTTAACGGTAACAAAAACATAAATTATAAACATCTGTAACATATGCCAGCAGCAAAACATTAGAACAAGTAGAGTTGGAGTTGTTGATATTTTTTATTTAAATCCAGTTTTACCTTTATTTTACAAGGTTTTCCATTTGCAGTTGTAATAGGTAAGTAGCTCGGCCGCATTAGTCAACCCACATCAATTCATTGTTTCAGAGTAGGGTACAATGATGTATATTTTTTGTTGGTTTTGAATCTTTACTCCAGTCCACCTTTTCTCATCACATCTGGTAAAGAGTAAGCCAGCTCTTCTACTGTTCAAGAGGCTGCCTGTATGTGTATGCGTTATTGTGTTTTAGTCAGGCAGAGAGAGAGAGGGAGAAAAAAAGATTTCCAAAAACACTAAAATGGATTATTAGAGTAGAGCAAGCTGTGACAGAGAGGGACAAATCCCTATGACAACCACAGACGTGCATAAAGGAAAAACCATAGAAAGAGAGAAAGAGGAGGGAGAGATGAAGGGACAGCGAGAAAAACAGACACACAAAACCAAGGAAGAGGTTTTTCTGGCTAGCCGCAGAGCTCTGTGGGCAGTGGGTGCTCCTCGTATGCGTCCAGCAGCTGGTTTCTAATCCCCTCCCCCCCCCCCTCTGCCTGCCCACACCACACAGCGGGCCGCCGTCTGCACACGGTTCCTGCTCCGCAGCAAGAGACCTGCATGCATGCACCGCTGCATCTGGGTCAATGGGCCAGATTCCTGCAGAGGTCATCTTGGACACATGCATGTATACAAAGAGCAAAAACTGCAGAAAAACTGAAGTTGACCAAAAGGAAATGCATGTTTAACCTGTTAAGCCCCGAGCCTGTTTTTCAGGTTTCAGGCTTGAAAATGACATGCCCAAAACAAATGACTACAACTTAACTTCTAAAAGGGTTATATGAATAATTTCTTTTATCAAAGCAAGGTTACATTTGTGAGTTGGATGTAGAAGTGTCAGAATCAATATAGATTTCTCTCAGTCAGAGTAAATTCAGATGGAACATAGCAAAAAAAGGTAAATTCTTACCTCCGCCTAAAGAAAAAACATTACTTATAGTGAAAACCACACTTGAATGATGGGATGGTAGACTAAAAGCTTTAGGAATCCAAACTATAACATATAATAAGTACCCTGTATCAAGATTGAGGTAAAACAAGTGAAATGTGACCTTTTTAGAGAGGTTTAGCAAAAGAAAGGTCCAGGCGGAATAAGCTTTGGGCACATTTGGGTACATCTGGTTCCATCAGTGCCATTTGACCTTTTTCAGGTACCAGACTATAAAAATTGTGTATTACATTGAATTATCACCATAGGTATTCATTCCATCCAAATAAAAAAATAAAAAAATAAAAAAAATATTTTTTTATTTTTATTTAATTTGTGGAAAAAAAAAGGACCCGCCGACAGGTTAAACCCTAACAGGGTAGAAACAGGAGGTATTGATTAATTAATTGAATATATGAATACGTCTAAAAGGAGATCCACAACTACACTGTAGATCAAGGGAAATGGGTAACATTTGGAAGAGCCTGTTTTTGTACTTTTTGATAAATATGTCGCAAGCTAGTTACAGCTTTGAAATTTAGATGAGTTTATTGCTATGCTCTAGAGTCGCTCAAAGTGCTGCCCGGAGGCTAACAGCGAGACATTTTGTGACCCCTGAACGTGACACGCATTACATTTGAATCATCCGCGGCCCATTCCCATTCTGCAATACTGTGCCCAATACAGACATTTTTCAGGTTGGAAAGGACAACTTCTAGAAAGCAAATGGTTACATGGCACGTCAGGAGCAATTAATTTTAGTGGGAAAGTCAGTAGTGGAGGTGAGAAGGAGAAAAAAGCAGAAAATAAGGTTTCAGGAAAAATGCATCAGCTCTTTGCATCTTAAATTATTGCAACATCCTTGGGCAGAGAAGCAAAAATGTAAGCTTGCACAGTTTCTTCAGGTGTTTCTGTTTGACAGTCAGTGCTCATACATTCTCAAAAAGCTGCAACAGTTTTGTGGTGTCTCACCAAATTGCTATGTGTAGAGAGTCGTGCCTTTGTTAAGGACTGCTTGGTGAAAGTGGCTGACAGTGTGTGTCTTGATAGGCTGGCTCCCTGAATTGGCACTTTGACAACCCATGTTTACTTGGAGGTGTGTAAAATACAAAACGAATGAAAATGGAAAATAGGAGCATGAGTCATTTTTTTAAAAGTCATCCAACGACCATTCTAATGTATCTTTAAAGCTCATGAGCATTTTCTCTTCAGATATTTGATGTGTGGGACTCTGCTGTCCTACACTTATCCCTCTCTCTGCTTCCTCGTCAAGGCAGCGAGTGAAAAGGAAATGTAAGTAATGTGGGGAAAACTCCCACAACGCACGCCAGCAGCATCAAGCCGCTTTCTCAATTTCACACTCCAAGAGAGGAGGAGTGCAGTGATGAAAAATAAGGAGAAGAAAGGTTCCTCTTCTTCTGCATATGAGATGTTCCCTCCCATGCTGAAAGAGGAATGACAGATTTACATTTGATCTGTATTCTCCGACTGTGTGTCAGCAGAGAGAAGACATGATGTGAGAGGACTTTTAACTAGGGGAAAAAACGAGGCAAAACTGGTGTTTAGAGATTGCAACTTTGAGCCGCTCTCCGTCTTTTGAAGATTTTCCACAGATGATTACGATGTGCTCCTCAATGCTCATCTTAATCACATCAGGGCTGAGATCAAATGACACTTTGGAAGAGTGTTTAGATTTAAAGAGAGCTGTTAAATAACATATTCAGTATTATGTGCTCTGACAGTTTTTGATTATAAAAGAACCAGCAGGTGTGTAATGTCCAACCGCTTTATTTCTCTAAACGGATGAGACTCCTAATAGCAGACTGCCGTTAGACGTCGCCTGTGATCTATAAATAACAACAGTTACAGCATTAAAAATGATACTGTATCTGAAGGCAGAGGGATTAATGATTCGACAGGGTTTGATGAATATATTAAGTGGATGCAAATCATTCAACGCTGATAGCATTATGAGGCATACGCCGCTGTAATTCGCCTGCTTGGGAAAATCTTATCATCTTCACCAGAGATTAATGCAGGGACAGTTTCTCACTGGAGGACCTCAGGATATAGTTGAGCTGATTTTTCCAAGAGAACATTTGAATTTGTAAATGCTGGAAAAGAGTCCAATCATTCTGTTTTATGGGGATTTGTGGATGGAACATGTTTACTTTTCTCCTTATTTTGTATGTTTCTTTGTCCTTTGTGACAGTGCACTGACTGTTGATGAGATAAACGAGACATCAACTTGGACATTTCATCAACCAAGCTAAAATGTGATTCCTAAATAATGAAAATGATCTTAAATGTGTGAGTTATGTCTCTGCTCACAGCACTCGACAGGTGTTCAAAGCCTTCTGAGGATGGCGTTAAAATGCCTTGTGGCGTTTTTGCTGTGCATGTAAACAGTTATCTTTTTAAAGACCTTGCAGATGTTTGATTATGCTTCGAAATGTTCTGCAAATGTAACTGACTCACTGAAATAATGATCTAATTTGCATTTCTAATGAACATCAAAGACTCCGATGCTTATTGCTTTGCTTTGTAGTGTAAAGTCACATTTATTTCACTGAGTAAGGAAGAATCTGTACATATTGTTCCCTTCAACCAGCAGCTGTGAGAGTGGAACTATTTTCAAATTCAATCAATCAAGGTCGAATAAATATTTCGGGTCCTTCTTAAGAAAAATTACGAATTCAGTTCTTACTTCTTAAATGTGGACATGTGCGGTTTCTGGTCTTTTTTGATAGTGAACTGAATATATTTGGGTTTTTGATTTAACAAGACATTCACTTTGGGAACATGTGAAGGGCATGTTTTTGTTTGTATATGATTGTTTAAAATTTTTTTCAACCAATTAATCAAATTTGAAAAGTAATTGTTTCTTGCGGACCTACTTTGTAAACGGCAGTATTGAATATTATAATCATTCAAAATTCTAATATTAATGCCAATTTTGATATGTATTTAAGCATTTAGCTTTCTAAATATCAATTTACACAAACAAATACATCTGTCCATCATTATCTTGATGTTTGATTATGTGCCCAAAATGTTGTATTACAAATCTTTATATCAGCATCAAATTATAAAAATATCTAATGTGGGTCACAAAGACTCAGATGCCACAAGCTTGTTTTTTTTGGTGTAAATTTGACTTATCTTCCATCACAAGTATGTCTGACTGCCTGTCACATACTGCTCCCTGCACTTAACAGCAGATACAATTTTCAAAAAACACACAATATCAACCTTTCTACATGAATCCGTCAAATGTTAAAGCCATTTCAATCAATAATATGGAGAAGTAAGGGTGCTCGAACGGCCCCCTGATCTAGTTTGGTGTCCAACTAAAACATCTGATCCATGGGATGCATTAACACGGGAGCAATTAGCCCACATAACAACCTGGATGTGACATTGGCTACAACTGCTGCCAGTGGGGATATGAACCGGCCTGCAGCAGTTGTGGGGCAAAAGAACATAGCACTCAGTAGTAGGGCATAAATAGATGTGAGGATTTAGGTCTCCCTCTCTCCCCCTCTCTCTCCTCTCCAATCTGCTGTCTGAATAAGTATGTTTTCTGAGGGGGAGGGAGCAACACAGGTGACATGGGAAACTCGGGACAACATGGTGTAAACATATAAAAGCACCTAAAAGAACATAATAAAGCCCTCGCAGGAAAAATAAATAACCAACACTTGCAGGAAAAGCCTATTTCAAACACTCATACATGCTGTTGAGAGAATAAAAACATGCGTTCCAGTGTTTGTCTTGGTGCGTCCTTTGACATTACCTGCTCTGTGTGTAGGTCTCCAGCTTGTGACCCCTCGACTGGGTCATCCTCCCAGAGGCACCGGCGAGCCAAACACAGAAGAGCACAAGAACAGCATCCACCTGCATGGTTCACATTCCCCAGAGGACGCACCTCTCTTGTCAGTCAGAATATTTTCCCCTCAAGGGTTCGGAGCACTCTGCCTTGCTGAGACATTCCCTTCTCCAGCGCCGGAGCTGATAAGAGGGAGAAGAGGGAGGAAAAGCAGCACCAGCAGCAGCAGCTACGCTCAGCTATTCTACGGCCTGAGTGGAAAATATCCTACGGTGCTTAATCTCCACAGTGGGAAAAGCAATTTTGACTAAACCCATAAATCCTTGAGCGTCAGATGGTACAGATTTGATCCCTCCAGCGGCGGATGTGCCTGCGTCTCTGTGCTCTGCTATGCTCAGATATCCTGCACTCTGATGTGCTCTACTCCACTTTGCACCGCCCAGAAACACCAATTCTCACAATGATGCGGCGCGCTCATTTGTAAGGTCACCGGTTTAGAGATGCAGAGAGGGAGCTCTGTGTGTGTGATGTGAAAGGCTCCTCAGCTCCTTTTGATGCAGGAGTCTCGTGTCTGGCATTTCAACAATCTCTGTCAAAAAGGGAAAATATATGCATATCTGTTTGTTGTTGTTTGCAGGAATACAGTTGGAGGGTTTTTATGATTTCAGAGTTGTTTTCCTGCTGTCTGTTCCTGTTTTCTCTCAGGGGACTCACACTTGGGAATATTTTTAGATGCTCCAAATAATAATAACACAGGTGGATGTGTTGACGATTCCAGGAGAAATAAGGCCAACAAAGTTTTATAGACAATTGACCTAGAAATAGACATAGTTAATCGAATATGCAAAATATAATAGCCAACAAAACTGACTTTCTTAAGTATTTTTCAACAATGATTTGGTCCACAGTTTTGTCAGATAATGCAACAAAAAAAAATACATTCATTCTGATCGCACACCTGTCAATCTTCTTTGAAAATCAGAAATAATTTGTGTGATATTTACAAAACTCACTTTCTTAAAGGGGACCTATCATGCAAAATGCACTTTTGTACGTCTTTTATACATGAATATGTGTCCCCGGTGTTCCAGGGAACTCACCAAGTGTCAGAAAACACAACCCTCTCTATTTTCCTCCATACCCAAATCTCTAAAAAAGGGGCTGCAACGGATCTGATAAAAACTGATCCAGATTTGAACACTTTACTGACGTCAGTAAAGTGGCGCTACGGCTATTGGGCCAACTCTCCACCTATCAGGGGAATGTGGGGTTGGGCCACGGCCGGCCATTGTCGCTCGAAAGCGCTGGAGACGCTGTAGTACATATGCCAGGCCTGTAAGTGGCGCTGTAGTCTGCCACAAAAGCAGCGAAGAAGACTTCCCGCCCATAGTTACCATGGTTACCCTTCTGTTTATTCTCCGCTGTGGCTTTTTTTCTCCCTCCCCGAGGCAAGCGTTTGCTCCCGCTGCTTTAATTCAATGCAATCCCTCCCCGTATTGAGCTTTAAAACAAATGAATAACGACTCTATAGGCCTATAATAATATAATAAAACACGGAGGATGGAGATTTTTTGTTCTCCCCCTCTTGACTTGATCAGAGCACGGCTCCCCTCTCCTGCAGGGGGGCGTGGTCAGCTGCAGCTCACAGAATCAGCCCCGTAGACAGCAAACAGCACATAAAGCGAAATGAGGCATGGCTAAAATGCATGATCTGTTTGGTATTTTGAAAACAGAAACGTATAAATATACCTTATATAGGTATGGCCCTACAATATATCATTTAAATATAGCATGATAGGTGTCCTTTAATATTTGAAGTATTTTTCAACAATAATGTTCCACAGTTTTGTCAGTTAATGCATAAAATACACAGTCAGTCTGATCATCACACACAAAATAGGTGATTATAGTGATTTTTCATTTTAGCGACACATTTGAGGCTGCACTACTTTTTGTCTGTCAAGGCACGCTGTCAGCGTGCCTTGACAGACAAAAAGTAGTGCAGCTGAATAAGCCAATCAAAGATCATCACAGCCCAGACGTCACCATCCATTTGCCAACCCTCTTTTTTTGTTTCAGCAGACTGAACAGTTGGATTATAAAATCATGAATTTGGGTTAGATCCATGGACGTCAATCTGAAAATTGGTGTAAGTAATGTTGGGGATTGTTTGTGTTTCAGATTTGTGGATCGTTCTGTACACTAGTCCTGCTGACCTGGCAGCAAATAAAACAGCTACCAAACTAAACTACTACCAAACTATCTATGATTTAAACAATGATCTTTTAGTTTTTGTACTGGAATTACAGTGAGCCTAGTGGTGTTCCAATGTGTTAGATATAAATAAGAGTCATGCTAGAGGCAAGTGAAATGAAGAGAAATAATTTAAATTACACTTCTTGTGAATATCTTATTAGTATAACATACAACATAATTTTGACAAACAACCTCACAATAAACGTATTACATCTAACTTACTGCATAATATGAGCATGTGTTTGATTAACTAAATCCAAGTTATAAGGATCGACTGATATTGGACTTTTAAAGGGTAAATCTACACTTGATTGTAGAAGACTCACTGGCCTTTTTGGAATTATTGGTATACATCCCTTGGAGAGGGGTGGGCTTTTTGTCAATCCACAATCTGTTTTGATGTAGTAACACACTACACAGGGGGAGAGGGAGAGCAAGCTGTCACCGCTAGTTGGCAGCGTTAACCAGATTAGCAGAAGTCTGCAGAGTCTTTGGCCTAAAACAATCTAACAACGACATATCGGCCCATATATATATTTTTAACATAAACAACCAATACTTTGACATCAGCAGTTAATAATACTAGTTGCAAAAATAATATTCACCAAATAATAAGTAATAGTTCAGCAGAAGACACAGTGTGCAGCTGCAGTGTTTCAGTGTTTCTTATATATCCTTTCTTATTAGCAAGCGTGCATGACATTTGATAGAAGCAGTGGTGTGTGAATCTATACATCATTTTTTTTTTTTTATATTGATCCCTTAAATTAGTCCAGCTATAGTGACTTTACACTAAGACGGACATTTTAAGAAATGAACTTGTCTTTGCTGATTCTGCTTAGAAAATATCTGCTGTATATTTAGAAATGTATAAATCTTACATACAGATTTATAGACGTATAAACATGTGTTAAACTAAAATATGGCAATAATATTGGCTCTTATTTATCAATTGATTTGTGACAATTATAAGATACTACGTTATCTGTATACTAGGGTGGTCCTTAAAATTGAAAGTCGGAAAGTCTAAGCTCCAACCAATCAATTTTCTCCTCAATCTGACAACATTTACCCCTCCCCAGGGTTCGAGTTATGTGGGAGCCAATGGGAGCTGAGCTCCCATAAGGAGGGGTCTGAGCTCCCACGGACGCAGTGAAATCATACATCTGTGGGGGTCGCTAATACATTACCAACAACCATTATTTTAATCACAAATAATGCATGTGTTAATGTAATGAGTATTATTGAAAAGAAAAACATGTTTTCCAAAAGAACAACGCATCTCTTGAATAACAATATGCCTGCGCTGCACCTCCAAGGTGCGCAATACTTTATTGCACAATCTATGCCTGTTAGCGTGCTGCGCGAGCCGAGATGATGTGTGTGTGCGCAGTTGAACCTTTTCATACAGGGCCGTGGTAAGTAGGGGTGCTGAGGGTGCTGCAGCACCCCCTGATGGAGGACAGGGAATCTGCACGTCCACAAGATTAAATGGAAATATAATACAAATATAATACAAAAAAAACGAATTTTCGGCCTTGATGTTCACATTCATAATTAAGTAAAGGTAACACCCATTTCACCCCGGTTACATTTTCCATGTGCCCTGAGAGGCTCAGTGAGGTAAAGGACTCTGAGTGTTTAGATAGTTCACTTTAGTCTAAGTTATCTCAGTGGGTCTCAAACGGTTTGATCACAAGGCACACCTTTATAATTATTAGGATAAATAAAAACAGGTTTGAAATCATTCCAATGTATACTATAGGACAGTAAACCAACAATATCCTTTAAAACTGGAGAGATTAAAAAATATGGATAAATAAATAAATGTTAACTGGTAAAATAAGATATAAATGAACCAGCAAAAATCTTGCCTAGGGCAGCAAATGGGTCAGAACCGGCCCTGGTGTCATCCCCACAGCACCCCCCATTTGAAACATGTTCCCACGGCTATGTACAACAATACGCCCAAGCTGCCCCTCCTTAAAAAAAATGACAGCTAGTATCTACCTCATTGTTTTGTTTTTAGAAAAACAAAAACTTGGTGTGTCTTGTTCTAGCAGATGTTTCATGATTCAACATGTTTTTACACTTTCCCGTTTAGATGTGTTTGTTCTCATTGGGCCGTATGAAACAACATGTTTTATTCCAATGCTCAGTTGCTCTAGGTTGGATTTCCTACTAACGTAATAGACACTTTGGACATTTATTAATCCTAGTAGATTGTGAGTCATCACTAGGCAAGGCGAGGCAAGTTTATTTATAGAGCACCCTTCAACACAAAGCAATTCAAAGTGCTGTACACAAATATAAGACAATAAGATTGAACAACACTAACATGTGTAGTCAAATTTGTCTGAAAATGATTTAGAAATGTTGCTTCATTTGGATGGAAAATTTGCGAGGCGAAAATGTACCTCACTCTTAGTTTATGAAATCATCAACTCACTATATAAAAAAATGAAAATTGGCATCACAGCACGAAAACCGGTTGCAACCATGTCGTCAAAGTAGCAGAAAAAGAGCCGATGTGATGTACTGCCCGCTTGTTTGTTTGAGAGCTTGAACAACTACTGACAAGTGAAGAAATGCATGGATGAAATGTTGATGTGTGGTTCAGTTGCCTCTATATGCATTGAATAAAAACTGATGATTATTTGCAATGCATTTATGTGTAGCAGTATTTTATTGGTGTTGCTGGTTAAGATAAGTATGATGTAACTATTTTATAGACTAATATGTAGCTTTATCAATAATGCCGTGCCACATTTTATAAGCTATTTGTTTTGAATGTAAAGTAGTGAAGTGGGAGTTTAAACTAACAGAGATTTCATAAGTAGAGCTACTTCCTTAGGCCCGGGCAGCCGAAAATATGTTTTGTGTGCACAATTTTGGGCCTTTGGGGACTCCGTAGAATCACCGCAGACAATTACATTTCAGGAAGTTACTTTGGAGGTTCCACATGAAACATAAAACAATAAAGGACATCATACATTATATTTACAAGATACATTTACATAGTTATAGACATTTACAAGTGCCCATAGTATCAACAAGCATTTCATTTAGCCTAGCTTTAAAAACATGCAGAGGAATGAGATTGCTCAGTTTCAATTCTTGCTGAAGATTGTTCCAAGCAAGCATAAAAGCTGTCTTACCTAAGACAGTCCTTGCTCTTGGCACATGTATACTATAGGACAGTAAACCAACAATATCCTTTAAAACTGGAGAGATTAAAAAATATGGATGAATAAATAAATGTTAACTGATAAAATAAGATATAAATGAACCAGCAAAAATCTTGCCTAGGGCAGCAAATTGGTCAGAACCGGCCCTGGTGTCATCCCCACAGCACCCCCCATTCGAAACATGTTCCCACGGCTATGTTTTCATATTTAAGTTTGTAGCAAGTGGAGGGCTGCTGGCAGGCCCGGACTGGCCATCGGGAGGGCCGGGAGGTTTCCCGATGGCCTAGCGATTATTATTTTTTATTGTGTGTGTGTGTGTGCGTGTGCGTGCGTGCGTGCGTGCGTGCTAGTTTCAAAGACCCCCATAGAGCTCAGTTTATAACTCGAACCCTGCCCCTCCCTCATCAACCTTGAAGTTTTTTGGTACCTACTTTTCCCTATTACCTTTACATTTCTTTAAAAACACAACAGAAACCAACACAAGTAAACTATTCCTCACATAGAATTTAGTGATCATTTCCTTCAAAACTGGTTCAGGAACTAAAGGGACATCTGTAGCCTGTAAAGTGCTCTTACCTTTTCTACCTTGTTGACCTGACTTGACTTGGCCCACATACTAGATGCATCCATCACCAACAAAACCTGCGTTGTTTTTCAGTTTCTGCATCTGTTATTACACTCAAAAGACAAAAATAAGATGTTAAAGGGTTGTACTATAGCATGTGTGTATGATTTGGGTGCATAAACAATCGCTAGCAGTACAAAAGTAGCAAACACTTACAAGGTTTCTCTTAAACCACCCTGCCAGTTTGTTTCTATGTAGAACATGGTCACCCTCTGGCGTTAGCCAATGAACGGTGGTTATTTTGCCCTGAGTTTCGTCTTTCAGACAGGCAGGCGCACTGTTCTCATACTATAAATCGTCTAAGGAAACGTCAACAAATCGCATCCGTAAGGTTTAAATCCTCGATTTCAGAAAATGATCAGGGTTCAGGGCAGGGCGGGACACATGACCTTTTAATCCCAGTGAGTGAGACGGGATTTGTGCCTGAAAGGCTTAAATCTGGGTTAATACACTTTACTGGATGCAGTGAGGTGATTGGCTGGCGCAGTACTGGCGGGGCAATGTAAAGAAGTTACTGAAAGCTAGAGCAGAATATGTTTACTAAAATGACTGCTATGTAGCGCTAATTGGTGATATATTAAACACGATCGGATACGTAAATGACGACGAGGACATTAATAGACAAGCACAGAAGCGTATTGGTGAAAATTAAGTGATAAAGTGGTTTGTTTGGTTTATTTATAGTCTGGCAGACGCTAAGCTAAAGTGAAGCGCGCTGTGTTGTCATTTACTTACAGCTGTATGTTAGCTAATTTAGCTGCTACCTCAGGGCTGGATCAAGATGAACTCTTTGCGGGAGATAAAACGTAAGGATCTATTCATTCATACGCTGTTTGTACGTTTGTTATGATTGTTTACAATGTTGATATGTGCGATCCCAATGCAGAGCTGCAGAAAGCCAAAAGCAAAGTGCAAAACAGCAACAACATTAGAGAGGAAGCAAACATCTGCAATCAGCTGGGAGAACTGCTGTCCAGAAATGGTAAGTGGTTCATACTATTAACAATATTGAATAGACTGCTTAATGAAAATATGTCAGTAAAAGGATTGTGTGCAGATTGCTTTTATCATATGACATAAGGACATAACATAGACGTATAGAAGACAACAGATCAGAGGTTTTCCAATAGAATTGATAGCAGTGTACTGTATAAATGGTAAATGCACTTAATGCAGTAGAATGCAGATTATACAGAATTACTCATACTTGTACACTTTGAAACGTAACAATATATGGAGCCACCATCTCTGCATTCATTAGAAGCAACGTTTTTTTTCTGTGACTGCCTTATCATTGATTACACCCCTTTTTAATGTAACATTGATTAATCAATCAAATTGTCCTTAAAAAAAAAGAACCCCCATCATCTCCACTCTCTTCTATATCTTCCTTAATAGTCCTTGTTCCTGCAAGACTACAGATCTTTTTGTCTCTTTGCAATTATCACAAAAAAGTCTGTTAATTTCTAATAATGTAAAGTATAGTTTCTTGATAACTGTCTCATATTTTAAATTCACTTATCTATTCTTCTTCCTATTTTTTTATATCTCAGGTGATTATGAGGCTGCTATTAGCGAGCACCAGCAGGAGTTATCCCTCTCTGAGGTGGTCAACGATGTGATTGGACGAGCTGTGGCCAATCGCAAGATAGGAGAGTGCTACGCTGAGATGGGAAACATTGAGGCTGCTTTGAAAGTGAGTAAAGTGATCTGCTTTGTTCAAAATGACCGATAAAATACTTCTGTGGCCATTAAAACCCTTTGAAACCCTTTTATTCAGTACCAAAATGATCCAAATGTAGCAGACATCATTCACACTCGTATTAAAACTATTCAGGGTTAGTAAAACATGTAAAGGAAATGTATGTATATTCTTCTTCAGCACCAGCAATGTCACCTGGACCTGGCTCGCTCTGTCAGAGATCATGCTGAGGAGCAGAGGGCGCTGGCCACTATTGGTCGAACCTACCTCTTCCGTTATGAATCGGACCAATCGAGGGGCAGTTTGGAGCAGGCAGAGGAGGCTTTCAGGAAGAGCCTGTCCATTGTGGACGACCGTCTAGAAGGTAGGCACCGTTTGTATCCTCACTGTATTCATGCAGCATTTTATTAATTAATGAATATCGTTTTTATTTTGTTTGTTTGTTCTTACATGTTCCTTATTTCTTACCTCCAGGGACTGTGCCACAGCGAGAGATTAGTGAGATGAAGGCACGTCTCTTCCTCAATCTTGGACTGGTCTGTGATCATCTAGGGGAGCCCAAACGTTGCAGCGAGTTTATCCGACGAAGTGTCTTCATTGCAGAGTAAGAACACAGAGTAGGCAAATGTGCATTGTATATCAAATATTATCATAAAATGTTGGTCATGTTGCTATCTCCCTTTTCGTCCTGTACAGGAGGAGTCAGCTGCTGGAGGATCTCTACCGTGCCAACTTCAACCTGGGCAACATTTACTTTCGTCACGGTCAACACTCTAATTCTGTGCGCTGCCTTGAACAGGCCAAAGAGTGCGCCAGGAAGATCAAGGACAAGTTTAGTGAGAGCGAGTGCTTTAACTGCATCGGCAAGGTACAGACTTATTCTTGAGAATAGCAAAAAAGCATAATTTAATTTACTAACTCACCCCTGTTTTTGTTGCTGTTCATATTGTATTGAGTGCTTCTCCATGACATTAATCCACAGGTGCAGCTGTCTCTGGGTGATTTTGTAGCAGCTCGACGATCTCTGAAGAAAGCTCTCCTTCTGGGTTCTCAGCAGCCACTGGACAGGCTGGCGGTGAAGAAAGCGTTCAAATATGGTAATGGAGCTACTTTATTTAATCAGCCCAGTGTAGCTTATTTGTTTTAACTTTAGTTGAAATTATCTCTGAGTTGATGGTGTAATTTTTTCCCAATTTCTAGCGGACCAGGGCTGTAAACTGGAGGAAGAGTTGGGGGAGGATCAGGGCAACAAACTCAGCTCCCATCAGGCCGTGGGGCTGGCAGAGCAGCTGGGGGACCTTTACTGCAAGGTTGGCTGCTACAGCAAAGCTCTGGATGCATATCAAGCTCAGGTAAAGAAGGTTTTAATGTTCACTTCAGCACCCAATATTTGCCGCGTTTTAAACTCCTCTCCAGTTTTGAGTTTTTTCACATGACACAATTATTTATGTCATCGTTGTCTGTGTGGTGCAGCTAAAGGGTGCTGAGGCGTTGGGAAAGCCTGCCAGGGAGCTGGCTGTGATCCACGTGTCTCTGGCTGCGACCTGCACTGACCTGAGACAGCACAGCAGGGCGGTGGAGCACTACAGGAGGGAGCTGGCTCTACGGCAGGACAGCCCCACTGAGGTACTGTATACTACATATATCTCACTTTACTTTACCATTCTATGGTCCTTATGATATAATCTGCAGGGTTAATACAAAGTCTTGCATGCTTGAAAATGCTTAATTTTAACCATATTGTTTTCAGGTTAGGAAATATGCTTTGCTTTATTTTACTCATTGAATATTTAGAATAAAAACATCCTGTCGTCATAACGATTCGCTAAGCGCTTATTCAAATTACTATCAAAGTTAATAAGAACATCTGGTTAAAAAAACGTAGTGTCAATATACATTGATTGCTGTGTGTATGATGTAATTATGTCAACTCTTTTTTTCAAAAGGGCCTTTTAAATAATAATTTAGATGTGATGATAAAGGCTTCAAGGGGGTGGAAAATGACGTTTTATCTACATATTGAAAAAATCTCCCTTAAAAATCTGTATAACCCTTGTATTGTGGTCTATGGACACAGGTAAGTCATGCAAACATATTGTGTATAATATATAGTATTTTGGTTTAAGTATATACACAATCACCAGCTGAATCACCTACAAGATTGTTGGAGAAGACCTTCTTAATAATTGATGCAAAGTATTACTTTAGACTGTCAAACGATTTGACATAATGGAAAATATAAATCTTGTACAGTATGTAATTGAATCTTGCATGTATTTTAATCACATGTTTGTTTCTGACTCAGGAGTGTAGCACTTGGCTGAACATCGCTGCGGCTCAGGAGGAGAGCGGCTGTGCGTCGGAGGAAACGGACAGCAGCTACAGTTCAGCCTCACGCCTCGCTGACCAGTCTGCTCAGGCCAGACTGCAGGTGAGCGGGAATATACTTTAGCAGTACTCATTTAATCTAGTGTATTCTCACTTATTTCTTTCTATGTTATACTGTGTATTTTGTACATACTCTATAGATATACATATTTCATTATTATATATTCATTATTTTGTATTAATATTTATATATTTAATTGTTTTATTTAATGTATTAACTCATGTGCAACGTCTTGATAACCGGCTGCTGCTATAACAAAAATAATTTCCCAATTTTTAAACAATACAGCACATCTATCTATCCATCATACATAACCCACTTCTTCAAATAGCTGCAAATCCATGTACTTTGCTTAAGAATAATACTTTGACTGTGAAGAGTCTAAAGGCAGATTCTGTGTATGATCACTGATTTTTCCTCTCTGTAGAAACGTGTGTTGAGGCTCTGGCTGGCGTCCCAGAGGCGATGCGGCTCCTCTCAGGCTGAGGACACTGAGGCCAGGCTGCAGGAGCTCTGTGCTGCGGAGGGCTGGAGCCCAGATGGGAGTGATGGTGAGGAGGATGAAGAGAAGGAGATGGATAACAGTGAGCCACTGGAGGACAGCGATGTCAATCTCTCAGAATCAGGTAACACGAGCATCAGGCGTCCCTGACATTTCTAGACAAATGGATTTTAATCCAAGTTATTTTATGTTTGTCTTATATTACGATCTAGATGATGATTTGGAGGGATATGACAAGATGGTGTCAGGAAGGAGAAAGGCAGGAAGGGTGAGTTGTGTATCATTTGTCACTCTACAAAAGCAATAATCTAATCTTTTTATTTCATGTCTTCAGTGTTTTACTTTCTGCTTTGCTTCATATTTATTTTAGTGGAACAAGAGGAACGAAAAGGGCGAGACGTCTCTGCACAGAGCGTGTATAGACGGTAACCTGAAGCAGGCCCAGTATCTGATGGAACAGGTGGGGAAAACAACATTTATAAAATGTGTTTTAAAGGTGGGGTAGGTAAGTTTGAGAAACCGGCCCGATAGCAATGAATATCTTAAGTGCTTTGACAAAAAATCCATAAAAAAATGTCATCTGTGGAAGCCGTAGTACTGTAAAAAGCACGACCAATCATTTTAGCCGGCCCGGCTAAAATAACTGGATGGCCTACCTGCCTGTCAGCCTTCCATCTGTGCACAAACTTATCTCGTGCCCTCATTGGTCATGTGCGCGTTTGTGTGTGTTGGAGGAGGGGCTCTGTAAGGAAGTGGCAGATTTTTTCCGGTTGTGTATTTTCAAATTCTACGCACTCGAGCTGGTTTCTCCAAAATTACCTACCCCACCTTTAAGTAGGGCTGCTCAATTAATCGTATTTTAATCGTAATTACGATTTTGGCTTGCAACGATTATGAAAACAACATAATCTAAATAAAATGATTATTTTTTTTTTTTTTTTTTTTATTTGATTCGTTTTTCAGTTGAATTATACTTAAAGTTCAGGGTGATCAACTGTTAAAAACATACTGTTAACACATTTCTTTTTCAATAAATGGATGTTTTCAAAGTAAATGGATAATCGTTTTTAATAATCCTGATATCAATTATTGACCCAAATAATCAAGATTATGATTTTTGCCATAATCGAGCAGCCCTAGTTTTAAGTAATTTCATATGGCCAGAAAAGAAAACAATTAAAGGGGACCTATCATGCAAAATGCACTTTTGTACGTCTTTTATACATAAATATGTGCCCCCGGTGTTCCAGGGAACTCACCAAGTGTCAGAAAACACAACCCTCTCTATTTTCCTCCATACCCAAATCTCTAAAAAAGGGGCTGCAACGGATCTGATAAAAACTGATCCAGATTTGAACACTGTCCTGACGTCAGGACGGTGGCGCTACGGCTATTGGGCCAACTCCACCAATCAGGAGGAGACAGCCACGGCCATTGCCGTTCGAAAGCGCTGGAGACTCTGTAGTACATATGCCAGGCCTGTAGGTGGTGCTGTTCTCACTGAATCAGCCCTTGCAAAAACAGAGCTAAAAAATTTCAAATTGAGTGAAATGAGGCATGGCTAAAATGCATGATCTGTTTGGTATTTTGGAGGAAAAAAAAGTATAAATATGCCTTATATAGGTATGGCCCTACACTATATTATTATAATAGGTCCACTTTAAGAAAAATGATTGAGAAATAAAATCCACTTGTTAACATTAAAATATCTGTTTGAAACTAAGATTTTTAAATATATACAACACAAAAACACATATACTCACTTTCTCTGCTTTAATTATTTATAAGAAGTGATGTTAATGTAGACGAATAAAAAAAAAACCCTGGATTTTTTATAATTTACAATGTTTTGTTTTCGTCATGTCAGGGTCACCCGGTGAACCCCAGAGACTATTGTGGCTGGACTCCCCTTCATGAGGCCTCCAACCACGATCACTATGGTAACTGATCTTATTTAACCGTGTTCCACCTTGGTTAAAAGTTGTTTTTGTAAAAGTAGGACAAATAAACGTTCGTCTTCTTTCTCTCATGCAGACATTGTAGCCTTGCTTCTGGAGCACGGCGCTAACGTGAATGATCCTGGCGGACGCCTATGTGATGGGGTGACCCCTCTCCATGATGCGCTCGCTTGTGGAAATCTAAGAGTTGGAAGACTGTTGGTGGAGCGAGGGGCTTCTGTCACCCAGCGCAACTCCAAGGTGTGTGTGTTTGGCATTTTAGCCTTTTATTCATTACAAGTTCTGGTTCAGTAATAGACAGTGATAATCTTCAGGAAACAATTTCATACTTGTATTAGTACTATCAAAATGTTATTTAACAGTTTCAAACAACCCTTAATATATGCTGCTGAATGTTAAATAGGTCCGCTTTCTGAAACTCTTTTAAATACACCGGCTGCTGAGCTGATGAAACTCACGCAAATCTGGATTTTAAATGCAATGCGTGTTATTTAGTTTAAATAAAATGGCAATACACATTTGGGTCTTATCTCATGGATGAAATGAATATGTTTAAATTTCATGTTTCCTGTTTCTTTTTCACAAGTAATACATTTTTTCCATCTTCCATATAAGTCCCTTTAACTTAAATTACGTTTCCTTTTTTTTTTTCATTCATGGACATGATTTATATACCCATAATTCAGTTATACGTTTCATAATATCCATAAAAACTAAATATGTATCCTACATAAACAACATTTCTGTTCAAGTAATACAAATTCTTCGTCAAAAATAAGAGGCTGTTTGATCCTTGTTACCAGTCTTACATTTTGGTCTTTGTTGATGATGCAAATGGAGCTGTTGTGATGCAAGAAAAATGTCAGACTAGATCTCACAATAAAGTATCGCTTCATTATCATAATCATGCTTTCTCTATCCTTTGTCAGGGCGACTCCCCCATGGACACCCTGCGTCACTGGCAGAGGACGTACAGCAGGGAGTTGGACCAGGACACCAAGCAGGAGTGCATGGCGACAGAGAGACTGCTGAGGAAGGCTCTTTCAGGCGGAGGTGAGGCCTTTACATCTCACCACAGTTTATCCTCGCTTTGCCTTTTAAGTATCCTTTCACACATCACTTATCTGCCTCACACAGTGGCTGCTGCTCCGGCCCCAGCCAAGCCTTTCGATGCCCTGCAGGACAGCCAGCTGTTTGATGCTGAGAACTCAGAGCCGCTGTCCTCCTCTGCAGGAGGCTGTCCCTCTGGAGGGGGGGGTCCTTCCAGCCAAAGCCGGCCCAGAACAAACAGGAACTCTGAGGTGACGGCAGCACCTGCCAGCCCCAAACGGTGGCAGAGCAACGGCTCAACCCGGCGCCACAGAGCCAGAGGAACAGACGCTGCTGTTCTGTATGGGGTAATGCTCATTTATTTGTAGATTCAAATAATTAATCCTGTTTTTGTTTCTGATTGTGAGCTGCCGGGAGACTTATACACCTATTAACTAAAAGTTGCAACAGTTGATTGAACTGCAGGAGGCCTTTTAATCTTGAGGCCAACACTGATGCTACTCCTAGCCGCAGTAGCTAGGAAGCTCAAAATTAAATTAAAGATTGATTTCAATAAAATCCCAAATGTGAAATAATTTTTAAATGCAGGTAAATCTTTCCATACATTTGTATGCTGCTTATATGGGTCTTTATCTCGTTATTAAAGTACTACGTATACAGCAATAATGTACTGAACATAATGTGAAGTAATAAGAAATCCTTCTTGACCATATAATACCTTTTGGTTTCCATCATCCCTTCATACAGTGAAACGGGTATTAAATGTCATACTATGTGATGCTAGTTAGGTCTGAAAAAGTATTTTGCCCCTGCAGAAACCCTGTCACTGAAATTGAATTATTTGGATGTACAATTACCGAATGTGATTTGTATATATAGTGAAGTTACTTTATATTACCTAGTATTTAACTGACACTTTTATCCAAAGCGACTTACAATAAGTGCAATAAACCATAAAGATTCAAACTAAGGACAACAACAGTGCTGACATATTTACTTCAAACAAGCAATATCATTGTAAGTGCTGCTGCATAAGTAAAACTCTGAAGTGCTTTTTTTTTCTTTTGATTATTTAAGTTAATTTATATACTTTATATGTTTCCAACAGAATAACTTCAGCTCCTCAGACGACAGCGACTCTGAACGCGCGGTAAGTCCTCCCCGTGGCGTCCGCCCTCGACACAGTTTCCCAGCAGCCCCGAGTCAAAAGGAAGTCCCCGCAAACAAGGAAGCCAACCCGATCCCCATTTCGGGCAGAGAAACTCTCAGGGAGGCTCCCGCGCCGTCTGTTTTTCAGCGAGATGAGTACCACAGTGCCATCAGAGGCCTTGGCAGCTCCAAAACTCTCCTCCAAGGTCTGTCGCAGCCTCAGTTCTCCAGCACGCCAGCTGTTTCCTCCAGCAGCAAATCAGCCCTGGTTCCTGAAGAGGAGTATCTCGCTGATGAGTGGCTGCAGGATGATCTGGAGGAGCTCCAGCCGAAGAAGAAGAGGAGGCTCCGGGTGGAGCAAAATGGGGCGAGAGGAGAGGACAGCGTCTTGTCTTCAACGTCAAGAAGTCAACACAGGCTCTTTAACTCTGACTCCTACAGAGGTAATGCTTTTATAATTTTGACCCATTTATTGTACTCTCTGTTTCTTTGCTTAAAGGTGGGGGTAGGTAAGTTTGAGAAACCGGCTCGAGATACACTTTTTGTTATATTCCATGGAATGCTCTTAACATCCCGATAGCAATGAATATCTTAAGTGCTTTGACAAAAAATCCATAAAAAAATGTCATCTGTGGAAGCCGTAATACTGTAAAAAGTACGACCAATCATTTTAGCCGGCCCGGCTAAAGTAACTGGATGGCCTACCTGCCTGTCAGCCTTCCATCTGTGCACAAACTTATCTCGTGCCCTCATTGGTCATGTGCGCATTCGTGTGTGTTGGAGGAGGGGCTCTGTAAGGGAGTCTGAAGGAAGAGGCAGATTTTTTCCGGTTGTGTATTTTCAAATTCTAGCGCACTCGAGCTGGTTTCTCCAAAATGACCTACCCCACCTTTAATTTAATTCAATTAAATTCAAATGTATTTATATAGCTCAATATCACAAAACACATTTGTCTCAGAGGGCTTCACAAATCAGCAAACATGAATGATAATGTAAAAACAACAAACATATCTGAGAATATAGTAAAATGACAAGATACATGTGAAAATGCCAATGAATGGGTACAAAACACAATGACACAAATACAGTTAGAATACAATAATTAAAATTCCATAAAATGAAGGGTCCATAAGGATGTTTAAAAGGGAGTTTAAAACCAGTCCTAACTGTACGCTGTAATAAAGAGGAAAGTCTTCAGCCTTTATATTATAATTTACCTTCATATTGCTCCTGTTCTCTTTCAGCTTCTTCAGTTCCTTCGTCCTCCAGCAGGGGTCTCTCTCTGAAAAGGAACGGCTCTCAGAAGCCTCAGCAGGTGAAGATGACTCAGATGCCGGGGATGGTGCGTTTGGGCCGACGAGAGGTCAACAGGTCACACAGCCCCACAATGACAGACGATGAGGATATGAGACCTGAGACGCCACCACCACCACACATGCACATGCACATGCAGGTGAGAACTATCTGTATCCTGCCCTTCATTCTGATGAGTTACAGAGGGAAGCAAGGCTATTAAATGCACATAAATATTATTTAAATTACAAGTTCAGAAGAGTGAAGGTTCAGAAAGAGATTTTTTATTACTTAATCAATATGACGTTGACTGCAACCTCGATAATAATTAATGTTTCAGCGACACTCTGGGACATAAGTAGAAGATCATTTGTCAGGATCTGTCTTTATTCTTGATTAACTTAAGACAGTAATGAATGTGCTGGTGATGGGAGATGATGAAGGAGGTGGTGCCATTTTAAGACACTGAGGCAGCTTTAATACCTTCAGATCTACCTTGGACCCACTGTGTTTTCAGAATGTGTTGGTCTCAGTCCTGATATAATTCAGAATTTGGTGGGGTTCCCCCTTTTCAAAGACATCGATATGTTTTGCTTATGTGTATGTTTTTTATTATCAATTTATTTCAGCCTCTGACTCACACTTTAGCTGCCCCCATGCCTACTTCAATGCCTCCACCAATCAGAATGAGGGTCAGAGTTCAGGAAGATGTTTTCCTCATCCCAGTTCCACAAAGGTTTGTGTACACGTCACTTTCATACACATGAATGACTGCAGTGTAAGGATGTCTTAGGTTAAACGTTTGGGATTTAACATTAAAGAACATCCCTCCATATCCTCGTTTCACATTCCCCAGTGAGGCGGACTCGTGCACCGTGTCCTGGCTGTGTGAGCAGGCCGCTCAGCGTTACTACCAGAAGTGTGGCCTCCTGCCTCGCCTCTCGCTGCAGAAGGAAGGCGCCCTGCTCTGCCCTCAGGACCTGCTGCTGGCCGTCCTGCACACCAACGAGGAGGTGAGCCCAAGCAGTAACCCTGGTGCAGCACTTTAAAGAAGAAGCTCCTTAGAGGACATAAATGTCAGAGTAAAAAAACTGCCATAAAAAGTATTTTATATTTGCATTAAAATGTTCAGTGAGTAAAATATTTATTTTCTCAATTCAATCTTAAATATTTTTTTTTATGGAAAGTAATATACTTAATCTGCATACTAAATGCTAGAGAGAATACCTTTTTTTTTACTGTCTGGAATATGTCATTGATGAATAATGTTAATTTTGAATCATCCCATAATAATAATAATAATAATACAGCAATAATAACCCTAGTAGAAAAAGGGGAAATGGCATGGGGCAAACATGAGAAAATGTCTCAATCTGGTGTAAGACATTAAAAACTAACATTTTGAAACCAGCGTTCTATATTGAAAGTCTGCTTTGACATATTGCATTATGTTATGCTGGAATGTCCTTGGTATCACAGATTTGTATTGCATTGCGGACTGATTTTTGTCTTTTAAGGGTCTGAAAAAAATCTAAAAGCACAACTTTTCTTAACTTGGTTGTATAGCGCTTTGAGCACCAGGAAAAGCGCTATATAAATAACATGTCATATTATTATCATGTATTATTAAAGGTCCCATGTCATAGCCATTTCTACTGATCATAATTCCATTGTTGAGGTCTACTAGAATAGATTTATATTGTGCAATTTTCCAAACTCACATTGGTTTTCTCATACAGCATCTCTGTATAGTATGTGTATTCACTCTCTGTCCTAAACGGCTTGTTGGAGCTCCTGCCCCCCCCCCTCCCTATGAGCCCAGTGTGCTCTGATTGGTCAGCTCGCCCACTCTGTTCTGATGAGATCACCACCGTTACAGCGGAACATCAGTGATTATGTGTGACAATGGAGTTAGCAACCAGAAAATGACACCAGTAATGACAAACAGATGAGAATGCTGTGTGGGATCTGGGTGCCGTGTTGGCGGGACGTTGCGGGGCTAGCTGCTGGAGCTGGCTTACTGGTGTCGTTTCCTGGTTGCTGCGGGGGATGTGCGAGACAGCGAGACACAGCGAAACCCAGCCTAAACCCAGCCCGAGCACACACGCACACCTGCAGCCTGGCTGTGAGTCTGCGTGTGTGCTCAGAACGAGCCCAAGCCGAGCCCCGCCGCGTCTCGCCGTCTCAGGCTGAGTTCAGGCTGAGAAATCCGCAGAGCTGTAGCTGAGAAAAGATTGAGTGTGTGTGTGTGTGTGAGAGACGTTACGTCACTATACCCATTACGTCACCGTACTTACTACACTATAAGAAGAAAACAATGGAAAAAGAAAAATCTCCAACGAGGCGTTCTGGGACAGCATAGACAGGTCTTTTCTGTGTTAGAGTTTTACTCGCTACAGGGTGTACTTTGAGGGTTTGTGACTCTGCAGACCGTTTACATGCATAAAAAGCTACATAACACACAAGGGGACGGGTAATAACCGGAAAAGCATGACATGGGACCTTTAAAACCGTTGCCAAAATGATTCCACATTCAATAACACACTCAAAAAACTAAAAGCCAAAAGGATTTCCTTTTACTTATTTTTTCTAGGAGCAAATAATTAACATGGTGTGTTCTGTTTTAGGTTCTGGCTGAAGTTTGCTCCTGGGATCTTCCTCCTCTCCCCGAGCGCTACAAGAAGGCCTGCAACAGCCTGGCAGTGGGTGAGCAACACACACTAAAGCACACAAACACAGATATACTGTAGACATTTTGAAAACCCAAACTGGAGCCTCCCTCCTTCTCCCTGCAGAGGAGAACAGGCGTGTGACCCGGCTGTGTGAGGTGCAAGATGGGAGCTCCTCTGTGTCAGTGTGCGGCCTCAGCCTGGCCCCTCCCTCCCTCAACCCGCTGCTCCGCGCCCTCAAACTGCAGGCCAGCCTCACAGAGCTGCGCATTTCCGGCAACCGTCTCCATGACAACCTTCTTCCTGAGCTGATTGCCACAACAATCACCATGCCTCGCCTTCGCCTGCTGGACATTTCTGCCAACGGCATTACAGGGGAAGGGCTGGAGAAGGCGGTGAATGCTTTAAAGGGACAGTGTCATCCTGCGTTTCCGGTAAACAGCTGGTTTCATTCTTCAGTGTTTCCTTGTTAGGAGCATTATTTTCATATCTGTCACTCTTTGGATAGTGGTGATATTTTTACTTTAAATTATACAATATTATAGTACACTTACCCTAAATCACAAAAAAACATGTGCAGAAATGTTGCCTCCATCATAGCACTGACATTTTAGAAAAATATAAAAAATATATATTGGTATTGAATAAAGTACCACAAACAAGATACTAGTCTGCTTAATTTCATTGCGGCAGGGTTCTTTGGAAAATGACTTTAGATTGTAACCGAAGTGTTGGGTACATTTTTTGTATTGCTTTTTGGGTGACTAACGTGTGGCACTAATGTTCCTGCTGTAGTGGAACTTTGAATTTTGGTTTCGATGACCAATTCCAAAAGATATGTCTTTATTATTTTTCTTTGCATATATCAGTGAGTCACATCACACTTGGTTAATGATTCACAAGGAAATCACAACCCCTTCCCCCCTGTGGGAGGAGTTGTGATTTGCCACAAACAGCAGGCTGGAAGCAAACCGTCGTGCACATGTTTCACCACAACTGAGATGAACCAGTTTATTATAAATGAGGCTTGAAAGAGAAGTCTCTCTTATGAAAGTGCTGTCTGTGGTTGTTTCCTGTCGCAGTGCCTGGAGGAGCTGGACCTCAGTCTGAACCAGCTGGGGGACGGGGTGTCTGAGTCTCTGTCCTGCCTGCTGTCCTGCTGTCCTCTGTTAGCCAGGCTGTCTCTGCAGGGCTGCGGCCTCACCGCACGCTTCCTCCAGCAGCACCGCCTGCTGCTGGCCAACGCTCTGTCAGGTGACTCAAATGGCCTCTGGATGTTCAGATGCATTAGTTAATAAGTCGTGATTGTGATTGAGCTGATAGTGATCAATGATAAGCAGCTTCAAGAACGGTCTCAAAGATCTAAAAAACCCTTGTATTTTTCCAGAGGTTCAACTTACATAAACAGTCATGTTTTTATTTTCTAGAAATTGAGACAAAGGGTAGAATAGTTGTATTATTTATCTACAAGCTAAGAGCAACCAAGAAGAAAACATTTCAAAGGTAAACAAAGATTTTTGTTTACCTGAAAATCATTTAAAAATTATTATGTATGGTTTTCTTTTTAGGAACGGGCCACCTGAAATCCGTGTGTCTTTCCCACAATGCACTGGGCTCCACTGGCTTTGAGCTGGTGTTGAAGACTCTGCCTCTCCACTCTCTCACACACTTGGACCTGTCAGCCGTCCGCAGGGGTCCGGCAGATTGTCCGGCAGATTCCCCGGCGCTGGAACCCCTCGCTAAAATCCTGTCGCAGGTACACACACATAAATCATGTTCTGTACACACACAGAATCTGGTAAAGCAATATCTTTCAGAACTGATATTATTTAAAAGCTCCAGTGCAACTCTATATTTGAGTACAGTACAAACAAATAAAAGCGTTTGTCTTTCCTCATAGGAGGAGTGTTCCCTGACCCACCTGAGTCTGGCAGCAAACGGGTTGACAGACAGCAGTGTAGCCACTTTGGCCAGGTGAGAGAGAGTGAGGTGTGTGTGTGTGTGTGTGTGTGTGTGTGTGTGTGTGTGTGTGTGTGTGTGTGTGTGTGTGTGTGTGTGTGTGTGTGTGTGTGTGTGTGTGTGTGTGTGTGTGTGTGGTGTGTGTGTGTGTGTGTGTGTGTGTGTGGTGTGTGTGTGTGTGTGTGTGTGTGTGTGTGTGTGTGTGTGTGTGTGTGTGTGCTGTGTGTGTGTGTGTGTGTGTGTGTGGTCGTGTGTGTGTGTGTGTGTGTGTGTGTGTGTGTGTGTGGTTGTGGTGTGTGTGTGTGTGTGTGTGTGTGACATATAATAACCAACAAACCATCATTATTGTGTAATAATGTCCTTGAAGCATGCTGCCAACAGTCTGTCAACACAGGTTTAAAATGATAAGAAATGACGTTCAGACTAACCTTATTTTGGCTTATTGGATTGATTTCATACCCTGTACTTTAACAAAGAACCAGGAAGAGGAATCAAAAGGATTTCTCTGGTTGGGTCTGTCTAGACTTTTGAGTAACTTTATTTGTAATTCTCTTCCAGATGCCTGCCTTCATGTCCAACTCTGGTGAACCTGAACTTATCAGGAAATCCATCTGTTACTTCAGCAGGACTGAAACAACATCCTCATCTCTCTCAGAGAGGCCTGCCGACCTTTGAACCTTCTAAACCTTCAAGGTGCATCTTTAAACACGCTTAAACATTACAATTGTGGAATATATTCAGTATCATTAACACAATTTGTTAAAGTAACTAGCTACGTTAACACACAATATTGGAACTGGAAGCTACAAAAGGGTTGGTTGAACATGAAAGACTGTAAATATTTATTTGTATTTTTGATTGTCCTTTAATATCATGATTTTTGACAACTATTGTTTAAAAATGTGTTCTAGATTTAGCAATTTCTGAATATATTTCCATAGCATTGAGCAGGAGGAGGAAAATAACAAATTGATAAAACTATTTAAGTTTAAATGGATAACAGAGAATTCATTTTATGAAAACGGATTCACATAAACCACATTTTAACCAACATGAACTGATGCATACAGTAGTTAGTTAAACATGTTATATTATGTTTACACTGTGCCTAGTAGGCATTGTGTAATATGTAATATAATGGATTCTTGCAATACAAAATAAAGATAAGCTGCTTGTTGCTCCCCCGCAGGCTGTGAGGTGTGTGGCCCCTGGGACACTGCCGGTCTGGACGGTTTGTCAGAGCTGGTCCAGGATCTGCGTCTTTGCTCTCAGGGACTCAACAAGCTGGACCGGCAGGCCCTAAAGCAGAGCTGGGACAGCAGCCGCTCCCCGGGGCGCTTCATCGACCGGAACAGTAGGTGTCTGCTCTCCGCTCCAGCCTCGTCCTGAAGGGGGAAACTGAAATGTGCTTCAGAGGAAATGGCACATCTTCATCTCTGACACTGAGTCATGGGAACTCATAAACACAAAACAGTTATACTGAGGGTGCTATATGAAGATTTCCTTCAGTTAGCGGGGATGCAATGAACAAGAACAGTGACATCCAAGGATATTTTGTGTTATTGTCTTATGTTTCATGTCTTTTGTACGCCTTATTTATGTGTATCTGTAAAAGTCTTCAATTTGTTATGTAAGCACTGTGTTTGTGTCATGACGCATCAACTGGATGATTGAATGATTTTGATATAAAAACAATTAAAGTGACTCTTTTTGCCTTGGTCTTTCAGCAGCACATTTTTCATCTCTAAGAAGGGAATACAAATCAAATGCAGATAAAACTGGCTGTACCGTATGCGCACAAAGTAACCTGAAGGAGAAAGGAAACATTTTGACCTGTTGATGGTTCTGTGAGAAAACACTGTTTAACATCTCCACTGTGGGCGGGGCTTCTTTCTTTATGCCAGCTGTCTATCAGTAAATGCTAGACCCACAAACTAGATGTCTCAACGGGCTGTTTCAATTGACCCCCTTTTTTTGCATATAAATATTAAATGCGATATATTTCTCTAGAAGTGCTGAATCCATTTATAGTTGCTATTGCTGTTTGTAAAAGTGGCGTTTGGGTGTAGTAATGATCACCGGTTTCTGAGAAGCTTTACCGCAACAAGAATTTAGTGTCAGCGGTGTAGCCACACTCCTGATATTGTTTCCATACTATCACCGTCTCACTTTTAAGAAATGTTTTCTTTTAGGGTTTCTTTTGTGACATTTCTCAAACCATAGAGGTGAAGGTTATCACGTTTTCAACAAGGTTTAAGAATGAATATTCATAACATTTGAAATGCAAACATTTATTTGGATAATTTGTGCACAGATACAGAAATTGCAAATCACATTACAGGCATTTCAAAGAAAAAGTAAAGGTACAAGAGAAAGTAAATGCAGTGAGAGAAATAAAGCTGAAAGCTAATTTATCATATTCTTAATGTACTGTGTGGTGATTCGGTCTCTACCACAAGCACTTCTGGTTTACATTGTTTTATTCATCCATGCATGCGACCCTCGGGATATTCATTAATTTGTATTTGAACACCCCCATCGTCACTTTGATAAACTTGGTGCAACAACTCCTTTGGCCTAAAGAGAGCAAGACAAGAAAACATGAACAAATATTAAATAATTAGCAAAAACACAATATTGTAAAACTCTCTATTACAGCTAAAAGCCCAGCATTCAAATGTATTTATCAAAAGCACACATTATAAACAATGTGTTATATTGTTAATACTTTGTTACATGTAAGCAGTTTAATGTTCTAGCTCATCGTAGAGCAAATGTATCACGTGCGATAAACGTATTATGTTTTGTGTCTCAAATCTCAAGAGTGTTCTATACTGAAGCTCTCAGACAAATGTTGGGAAGTAAAGAGGACAACACTGCTCAGTATAAAGTAAATAAAATACTGAAATATGTTCAGTATTTTATTTATGCTACTTTATACTGAGCAGTGTTGTCCTCTTTACTTCCCAACATTTGTATCTATAGTGACCTTACATGACTGTGAATGAGTTTTGACAGAAATACAATTTATCCTTAAAGAGTTGTTATAATATCTGAAAAATATATGTATTCAAAATATTGTATAATGGCGGGCTGGAAACTCACTTGCAGGCTTTGGTGTTGACACAGATGGTCCGCACATCATCTGTGGTCGTGAGCTCCTCGATTAAAACTGGGAGGTGTGACTTGACAAATTTGCGGCACAACGATTTTAAGAGGCCAATCTTGTTGCAGACGACCATCAGCTTTGACTTCAGTTTCTAGAAGAATGCAGATTATCATTAATGCTCATACCTTCCATGCACCGACTAAATCATCACCAAGCTGTCAGTGTTTTAGTGTTTTACCTCTGCTGTGGCGTTACGTCCGACCGTTTTCTTCACCTTATTTAAAGCCCACTTGCACGCCCAGCACACACCTGGAAGCTGGAGGTAAAAATTACACATTGTTGTAATATTAAGCAAAGGAATGAGTGCTTTAAACAGAACTTAGTGAATGGAAAAATGTTAAAAGAGCGGTAAAAAATCAACAAATAAATGTTTTTTATCAAGATGCACGGATGCATTGAAGCATTATAATGTTTATAAGTGGAGTTGGTCACTTTAACATGCAGTCAATATAATATGAAATCATTGTAATTATAAAAAAGGTCTTCAGGTAATTGTGCAAACCCCATTAACTGTTTAATTTTCACAACGGTTGTATATTACTTACACAGTGATGCATCAGTATTAACCATCCTATGCTGTGATATATAATAATATGGGAGTCACGGGGGTATTTTCTGCAGGAGTACCTTTCGTTTTTATACTTTAAGTACATTCTGCTTCTGTATTTTTACTTGTTTAGATTATCCTCCCCCACTCTAATGATAATCCTAACTTTATTCAGGCTTGAGTACAAAATAAAATCAGGGTTAAAGCGAAATGTAGAGCTACATAATCTACAGAGACGCAGCAGATGGGTATTTGAGTCTTTTGTACATTATCTAACATTTTGTCATCTGATAATAGTAGATGAATTGTTGACTAACAGAAGGTTTGTAAAGCAGTCATCTTACCTTTCCAGCCTCCACAGAGATTTCCATTTCCCCCGGCTCCTGATCATCAATGTTGACCTTGATGCTTCTGCCGTGGATTGTCCATACTGAAGAGACAATACAAAACATGTTGAAAAGCAGTGGACATGATGATAAAGACAACGTTACACAATCAAATAAACATCAGCACACCTGAACATGTCACCAGAATGCACACAATGAGGATCGAAGAGGTGTCCATGGCTGCCAGTGAGTGCAGATCTCTGAGTGTGTCTGTCTCTGTGTGTGTCATTTATACATTTAACAGCACCCCCACAGAAGGACATTAAACCACAACAAGGCTGGTCCCACGAGGTGGTGGTTTTGTTGAGACCACCATCACAAAAAAAACATTTTCACACCTCCCACTCATCGAGACGTAGTTTCCAGGTAATGCACTCACTACTCACTCGCACCCCAAAGACAAAAAAGACCAACATTAAATGTGTCATCTGTGTGAAGATCAACGTTTTTTATCTTTCAAATTGAGCCAATAATCACTGAGCAGTTCATGCGTGCTGCCCTCATTGCAGAAAGGTGATGTTGAGCTTGAAGCATTGAATTATTTGGGTTGTAAAAAAGATAAGGGTATTTGGATCTTTTCCGTTTTTATTTATTCAAAGAGGAATTTTTTTATTCCAGCCCATTTTCAGGTTCATATTTGTATTTAGTGCCTCTACTGTGACATGTCTCCATGCTTTATTGTTCAAAAAGGTGCTAGCACTATTTCTTAATGTCGTTCATTTTTGTAAAACACTATGAATGCGCTAAAACCTATAACACACAACAGGAAAGGAGAAATACCAAAAAGCCTAATAGGGCCTCTTTAAACATGTGACCACCCAATGGACTGTAGATGAAAATTCCTTCCAAGCTAAATGCTACATTACAATAAATGGTAACATTTAAGTTGAATATTTTACATGGTCTCTTACAAATAAAATAAAAGAGAGGTGTGTTACTTATTACCAAATAAGATAGATAACAGTCAGTAAAACAATGGCATGGTAATACAGCGTTTCTAATTATGGGGGGGGGTGTGTGTGTGTGTGTGTGTGTGTGTGTTTGTGTGTGTGTGTGTGTGTGTTTGTGTGTGTGTGTTTGTATGTGTGATTCCAACACAGTCTCACGGCATTTCGTGTTACGGACCGTCCACACAGCAGCGTTAAAAAATCTTGAAACGCTTCTGCCCATTCACTTTGAATGGGGTGACGTCACTTTCCCTCACTTTTCGCCGAACTGCATTGTGGGCAGGCGAGCGGAGATTTTCAGGATTTTCAGGATTCAAAGTTGAGCAATGTTCAACTTTTGAGGCTGAGGTGGAAGCGTCAGCCAATCAAATCCTGTGTACGCAAATCTGACAGTTCAATCTCTAGCCAATCAAACGGCGTGTATGCTGGGAGAGACATACCGCAGGTCATTTCCTCATATTCCAAAAAATGGAGGAGAAATTAGCGGTAGGGAATCACCCGGTGCTTTATGACCAGTCCCTATTTACCTACCGGGATATAAACCGGAGGAGCCAGGCATGGAGGGAGGTGGCAGAGACAGTGGTATGTTTTCGCCTGTTTGGGGAGTTTATATCCAGTTTACTTCAAACTTTTTTGCTTCGTATGTCGCGGGCGGGAGATTCATGTGATTGGTTGTTGGTGCCTTGCTCGCAAAAAATCCCCAAGCTTCAGATACGCCCACCTCCAAGATTTTTTTAACGCTGCTGTGTGGACGGTCCGTTATAGTCACGAAATTAATCTATTGATTCGTGTCACACAGAACGATTTTAAAAGCAATGTAAATAATAACAAATTAGAAGGAAAAAGACATTTAAAAAAATACAGATTTAAGTATTCTGACACAGAACGATTTTTAGAAGCAATGTATTTATATTGGTAGTATGTTTCGTGCCTGCACCAAATAATAACAAATTAGAAGGAAAAAAAGATGACATAAAATACAGATTTCAGTATTCTGAGGCTCTGAGCCCCATTTCTTTTCCTCACTGACGGCAAAAAAACTCAGACATTATACAATTTAAAATAAAAGGGATAGGGTTAAGCTTAGGGTAAGATATTGAGTAAGAACATGTTTTTATGAACCACACAGCTTCTGGTCTTCCAAGACCCGACCGGACAAAAAGACGTGTTGCAGGCACGAAACATACTACCAATAAATGAAAATCGTGTTGGTGAACACGAATCAATAGATTAAATTAATTTCGTGACTAATAACACGAAATGCCGTGAGACTGACTCATAAATATTTAAAACAAAAGGGAAAATGTATGTTGCATTCTTACGAGCATGAGATGCACATTGCTGATTGCTGATGAGTCATTGATGTATCATCAGCTTCACCTTCTGTGGCTTTTTATAATTTGCATGCCTCTCAAACACACGTATTAGCACCGCACGTGCCATTTCCCCTGCTAAAGTCAGACACTGAATTTAAAAAGAATGTCTTACAAAACATGTGAAAGTATTTCAAATGTACTTATTAAAAGAAACAAGCGCAGATGTGTTTTATTTTACAACACAATAAATCAGTTGACCTACAGACAAACATTTATTAACTTAATGTATTAAGTTTAGTCCTAATATTTATGTTAGTGCTGCAGAGGCCTGGCAGCTGTTTCAGGGATATGTAGACAACAAGTTTAAAGAAAGTGTCTGAGCTGTAATGACCTCTTGTCCATTTATTGATTTACCATTTAATATATCGATAAATTCATCAAGTTATATTTGTTTCAAATATATTGTTTTTATTGTTCCCTTTTTAGAGAGATTTAAAAAAGATTGAAGATACTGAAGATTTATTGCATAATGAACATGCAATGGGCTTCAACTTTAATGACACAATATTTATTTTCCCCTTCTTGTTTTCACATATTAGTAGTTGTTTTTTCCTTGACATAAAGACTTCCCATACTGGCAAAGTGTGTCATAGTGTCAAAAGCAGCCTTATGGAAAACACTATGACACTTGTTTGAGAGAAAAAAACAACATTCATCAAATTCCAATGTAACTGTGTTTGGTTATTATTGAAAAACCCAAGAAGCTGCAATATAAAGAACACTATGTCAAATGAGTGTCAACCCTTCCAATAATACGTGACCTGTTTTTACACCTTTCTTATTGTGAGACTGAATCGAGCACTATCCCCTTCCTGCTTCACAACTACTGAGACCATATTTAACACCCGCAGTTCATCTGCCAACTCCTTTGCACACACAACATGAAAAATGTAAAAAAAGTAGGACCTAATTGTTTGAATAGGTAGATAGATATGTACTGTGAGTCTTTTTTACCTATGGGAATGTAACCCATGTACCTTAAAAACGTATAAACCCCCAAAGTTCCTTCATCATGTTACTTAATTTGGCATTTATTGATTTTTGATGTGCTTTATTATAAATTGAGTTGTGGCATCCACAGGGCAACATTAGTTGGACTCTTGCTTTGGTCTCTCCTACTCCTGAAGGGTAATGGCTATACTAAACACTCCACCATCTGTACCAGTAGTTGTTAATTGTGTCTTTCTGGTGTTTGGTGATGAGCAGGTATTGTAGGCTACAGGTTTTTGTTTTTTTACTGAAATCTGTTCTTTGCTGCATCTCAAAATGACACAAGAGTTGAGAAAGTGTACCAAAACGGTAGCAAAAAAACAAAACAAAGTGATGCCATAAAGCTCTGTAGAGCCGAGCGAAACTGCGTTGTGTGATAATAATCAATTTTTAACAAACAATCATAATGTTCTTACACCCAAACATATTAATTTAAACCATTGTTCAAAACATTAACATAGTACAGCTTTAAGTTGAGCATTTTCTGATTTGTTTTTTGTAAGAGAGCTTAATATGAATGGTGGACCAAGGTAAAAGTGTGCCACTCATTTGAGACACGGTGTGAATACAGCTCAGTCAGTTCAACCCAGTTGCTGGATGTTGCTGCTACTCTAACAAACCAACAGGTGGAGCTAGAGTCTCGTCGGTATCCTGCAGTGACACCGGTTGTGTGTCATCACACAGACACACTACAGGAAAATGGGCAGTCATTAAGTGTCTGTGAGTGTCTCCACTTCTATACTTAGGCTTCCAGAGACAATTTAAACATGCAGGCAGATGCTAAATGGAGCTGCTGAAGCCTCTGAGGTCTGACGTCTGAAGCAGTTCCTCATGGTGGACCGTGCAGAAAGTCTGGTCAGATGGTCCGGCACATCAAATGGGGGTAAATCATGATCAAATGAAACATCCGTTTACAGTTAAGGTTTGTTATTAATACATATTTTTACTTAATGAAGTAAAAAAAACAAGCCAAATACTCTGTTTTCACTGCATAGCCCACTGTGACACTCTTACAATGAGCTGCAACTATACAGCTTAAATATAGTGGCCAAACAATCTCTAATTATCTACTTCTTTTTTTTTTATCACTTTTAGCCTTATCACAGTATTTAGCAGCGGAGGGAATTAGAATTGTTATAAAATTGTGAACATTTCTTTGAAATGTGGACTCACAATTGAACTTAACCAATACAAAGAAAAATATAAAACATATATGACTGACACGGTTGACTTTTCGTCAATGTTGGCTTTTCGTCAATGTTGGCATGAAAGTCATTAGTTAAAATTAAACGATTTTTAATAATCTAGTCAACTGCTTCTCGCGCTGTGAAAATCAATTTGGTTCTTTGCACTCTGTGAATAACTGAGTCACAATCCAGTTGTTTTCACTGGCAAAGATCACATCATAAAATACATATTTGCATGTTGCATAATTCTTTTGGGCCCACTTGAGCAAATGAGGCTTTTACCGATTCTTATTCATGGAGAATAAGAGATATAGAGATATTCGAAGCATGACGGAAATGTTTTTAAATATGTGAAATATTAGGCTTGTGTTTTTATAGGGAATTCAATGTAATAACTCCTGGGTACAGAAATAAGTCATACATGTAATCTTTCCCCACCACAGCAGCAGCACACCTTTAGTTCATCTGCCAAAAAGGCCACATTATGAACCCGAAAGTACACAAAAAGTACACTTCAGATGCTCAAGTTCCTTGACATGCTTCACGCTTTGAAATTTCACCGATATCTGTTACGGTTCTTCAACAAAATGTTCACATGTAAGAGGTTTATCTCTCATTCAGAACAATGAAAATGCTCTCCTCTCACTGATTACTGCACATCACCATGGAAACCTTTGATCTCTGGACACGTCGTTAGCTCAAATATAAACACCTGTGTCATGGAACACGATGATGTCATAACTCCAACTGACATGCTCAGAGCAGCAGATTTCAGATAATGGTTAACACAGCTTTACATCAAATCTGATGTTACGTAATGTGGTGTTACTATGGCAACGCATCCCTCGCCATAAAACAGCGGCAGACTTCAGATAATGGTTAATGGTCCTGCCCTCAACAGCTCTACGTCATTTATGGGGTGTCTTCATATGCCGTTTCCATGGAAACGGCATAGGCGAGGGATACGCATCCCTCGCCTTATGGCATAAAACACGATGTCGCTATAACTCCTAGGAAAATGTTCAAAAAGTGCTCAAACAAGACTGTGTGCTAA